ACAAGACACAGGGGGGAAGCATTTCTTCCTGAAACACGAGGATCAGCAGCTCTTGTCCTTTTATCCCAGCTCATGAGCTTGTAGTGTAGCTGCTGAACCTAATTATGTTATTTGGTTTCCACCATGTGCTAGTGTGGCCAAGTAGATAAAGCACCAGTGTGGAGACCTGGTTCTGTTCCCAGTACTGCCACTGTCCTGCTGGGTGACCTTAGGCAAGTCACTTCCCTGCTCCGTGTCTCAGTTTCCCCATCTGTAAAATACGGATAATGATCCTGGCCTTTGAGATCTACTGGGGAAAAGTCCTAGGTATTATTAATACATATTGGGCTGGATCTTCATTCGGTATCAGTCAGCATAGCTTCATTGGATTTAATCAGCACCAGAGGATCTGGCCTGCCATACCTGTGCTCCGATGAAAGAATGGTAATATCTGATCTCCTTTTAGACCCTTACCAAGCTGTTTGTCTGCAGTCATTCTGTGGCTACCTATTACAGAATAACCTCAGGACCCTCCTATTGACGCAGGCAAGCCTCTTTGGATTCCTGGAACATTTCACAAGGTGAGCTCGAGTCTCAAAGGAGCTCACCTAATCTCGTGCCGTATCCAAAGCGAGAACCCTGAGCTTTTAAACCTTCCCTTTAAATTCCTTTAGGCTGTGTCTGTGCTTGGGAATTCTAGGGGGAAATTCCCATCAGTGCTTTTAGAGCCATGTGGACGTTGAGGCTCCCACCAGCATAACCTTCAATATGGCTGAGCTGGGGTTAGTGCCAGTGGAGGCTGGCTTGGCTGGCTGGCTGATTTCCTTGGGGTGAAGTCTTTAGGGAGGGATGTCGTTTTTACCTAGTCTCCCATCTGTATGTTTGGAATGAGTTCCTAATGTTTTTAACACAGGAAAGGGCCGTTGCAAGGGGGAATTCCTTATTGGTTTTACTTTCAGTTTTAGTTAGGCCTTGTGCCTTACCAGAGCCGGTAAGGGGAGTGTGGGGGTGTACGTGTGAGGTGGTTTCAAGTAGTTACCGAGACGTGCAGAGATCAGAGCTAAAGAGAAGGACACAATTTCGGCACTCTCTTATTTCAGAGTTCTCGTCTCTGTCCATTTCTGTGGTGGTTTGTGTCTCTTTCTTTCCCTTGGTAAGTACATGTTCTCCGGTGTCTGTGCAGCGTTTAGGCTCATGGTGGTCAGCTTCACGTTTTGGTTTTATGTTTCATGCTGGGGGTGGCAAGCAGCGTGCATACTGGCTTTTTCCACTGATGTTTTGATCAGTTTGCTGCTCAAGCGTTACAAAGGCTGTGATAGAACCCAAAATGTATCCATTTGGCTGTAAAAGCCCCTCTGCCTAGTTCAGAGTCAGGACGTAGATCTTTGGACCACACTACCCGTTGGGTTGGGTTGCGTTGTGCATTTATTTTGAGGATTAAAATATCTTGTGTACCTTAAGCTGTAGTCACATGTTGTTCCCTTATTCGTGTACAATTTTTCTCCTATTTACAAGAGTTGACATTCTGAACTGATGGCCTTCCATTAGTACCTGTACCATGTTCCGTGGTATTATGGTCCAATCCTGCAAGCTCTTACTTGCATGAGTAGTCCTTACTTATGTGAGTAGTCCATGTATATCAAAGGTGAGGAAAGTTCAGTCACTTATATTGTAAAATTAATTTAATAGCTCAGCGGTAGAAAACTTAAATAATTGTGTCCCAAAGATTGATAAGTAGAGCCGGCCAAAACTTAAAATTTCCGTTCCACGGGAATTCATTCCAAATTGGAGCTTAAATAAAAATATCAACGTTTCCTCAAAAATGAAATAAAAAAAAATCATCCGGGTCAATCAAAACATTTTCCTTGTTGATAGCATTAAAATATTTTGTTCTGATTTCTGTTCAGATATTTTGTTCTGATGTCTTTTAAAATTGTATGTTACATCATGATTTAAAACATAAAATAAATTCCATAATGAAAAGTAATTTTGAAATGAAACATCAAAACGTTCCATTCTGATAAGGTCAAAACATTTCTGATGCTTTGTTTCAAAGTTTTGTTGTTGTTGAAATTGACACATTCCCATGGAAAGGTTCTATTTAGACAAAAAGACATTGGCTGATGGGAAAAAGTTCCATTGGAAAATTTTTGAGACGCTCTATTGCTAAGGACTATTGGAGAGGAATTACTAGGCTTATTTTTATTTGCTCTTTGGCCAGCATGTTTTCATGACACATTTGATGATTATCTGTTCTGTTCATTCCCTCTGGGGCACTTGGCATTGTTCCATTGTTGGAAGACGGGATAAAGGGCTAGATGGACATTTGGTCTGACCCGGTGTGGCTGTTCCTATGTTCTTATTTCAACCAAGAACAAAAGTTCATTTCCAAGTTATACACCCTGAAAACTAGATTTAGAATGGGAATGCTGATGGACTCTTAACTACAGCACTTATATGAATGCTGGCATAATAAGTGTGCATAGAAGATAAGGACAGTTATTAAGCGTTTGCCTACTAAAGGATCCAAAGCAGTTAAGAAAGTTGCTAGAGTTTGGGAAGAATGAAAGAAAGAGTTTGGTACAGTTGGGAGACAAATTAACCAATTAAGCTGGTGCATCGAGATGAATTGTGATGGCAAACCCCACTTGGCCTGGTGACAAGACCTTCAGAGATCAGTCAATTTATCTTGAGATTCAAAGTCTTTACAAATAAATGAATGTTACCGATCAGTCCTGTTCCCATCAGTGTACCGGGAAGGGTGGTGGTGGTTGGTTTTGTTCTAAGAGACATTGTGGAGAGGGTGGCAACAAAGGCGACCCATGCTTGCTGATGGGGAGGGGGGCGGAGTGAGGGCAGCCGGCTTCAGCAGTGTTACTGAGCATGCTCAGTCCATGTGAGCTTGCTCAGTACAAGCCAAGCAGCAAATCAGGGGTGGGGTGGGGTAGGCGGGCGCATCCCCTCTGGGGGGCAATCTGCACTGGGGAAGATTTGTGCCTCTCCGGCTTTAGCCTGACAACAGATTTATTTCCTGTTTATTTCTTTGGCTCGCATGGGAACTGGAGGGCAAAAGGGGACACGTTGCTGGGTCTTCGGCTACTTGGCTGGGATCTAATGCAAACGCAGGAACGAGGGTGTAGCCGGTCAGTAAAATGGCCGGATTGGAAGGTGGTTTCTGCAGAACAGCGCCCCCTCTCTGTCAGATTATTCTTACTGCAGTTGTTTTTCTGTTACAAAAGTACTTCTGATAGTGGGGGAAGAGGCCGTGGGAAATGGCTACAAATGCCTGATACTGGCTAGAAGGAGAAGACTATTTGAGATCAAAGAAGAAAAAAACAATTCCGAGAAATGGATCCTGTCACCTGACTGTGTCTCACACTATTGGTAGCTCATGGCAACCTAAAATTGACAGATGCTACTTTGCTGTTTTGGTTCATTTCTACACACAAACACGCACATACACATGCTCAGTCAAATACATCCACGCTGTGACTCCCTTGATTTCAGGGTCAGTTTGGCTTGTTTTGTTTTGTGTGCGAGGGAGTTAAGGTCTGTGTATTTTCACTTTCGTTTGACTCTAAACTACATCAGCAACTCTCATCTCGAGTTTAACACTCCTGACACTTGTACACCTCTAAACTCTGTATCCGTGAGTTAATACTAATGCTTTGCCCTGCATTTCCACCTGTTGAGATCAGAATCTGATTGTGCCAAAAAATGCACATCCTCTGTGAAATAGAGGCAATGTTGTAAGGCTGATCCCAAAGCCCCCTGAAGTTGATGGGTGTCTTTCCATTGATTTCAATGAGCTTTGGATCAGGCGCTTAGTCTATCCCATGATCTGCAAACTCACTCACTTCTTCTCCCATCATCTTTATGCTCCCAGAATTGCACAGAACCAATTCTGCCATGGAATGTTCCCCGACTTGCACAAAATGCACTCTCAAGCTGTTGCTGCGACTCATTTATCCAGTCTCATCTCCTTAATTGGCAAGTGAAATGACCGATGGTGAACGATGTTAGATGAATAGCCTAGGAGACAAATCCAAAGTATAGGTAGTATAGTATAGTATCTGGGGAAGTCTCAGCTACTACAGAGATGGGGGCCAATATTAAACCCTAAAATAGATTAAATAATCTTAGTGAAGGGTATCAGATTAACAGTACAAGTTTCCCCACTCTCAGCCACCATCAGTATGTTTCAGCCCTGAGCCTGGAAGGACGCTTCCGCTCCCAATAGGGGATAGAAGGTAATTCAGTCTCCACGGCCTCTTCCTTTCTTAGCCTCCCTGCCAAAATAGCCCACACGAATGCTATTTAGAGTCAGTTGTGGTGTGGGCTGGTGGCTTTACTAGAGTTTTGCAGTTCTGCAGCACCGCCCGTCCAAGGTTCTGAAAGCACCGTCCAGGCATGAACTAGGCCTCAGAGCACCTCGGCTGCTATTATCGCCATGTGGAAACTGAGGTACAAAAAGGCGAAGTGTCTTGCTGAAGTTCACACAGTGACAGAGCTGAAAATAGAATCCCGTTCTGCCCTCTTCTAATCTCTAGCTAATACTGCCTCACACACACTGGTATGAAACCCGATGCGTAAGGAGCTTGACTGAGTCTACCAACTCATTTCTCACAGCCCGGTCATCACATGGCAAAACACTTTGGTCACCACTCACGTGGGTAGGATTTGAACTGTTCACCTGGAGGTGAAAGGCTCTGTAGCCCATTACCAGTCCTCTGCTGCTCTCCTAGACAGAGCTCCTAAGTCTGAAACGCTTGTAATTGCATATGGCATTTTGTATTTATTCATGTGTGTTTATATCCTGCTCTGTCAACAGTCCACTTCTTTCCCCGTAGGAGGCTGCACAGGACAAAGCATCCACTTACATGCACAAAACATGCATCCGAGAACCGATGTCTATTGAAAGTGTGACGTCTACGGGGGTCGGTAATGCCACAGGAAATGGAGGAGAATCCACAGTTACATTTGAAAATGTAAAAGTCTAGAAAGAAAGTGACCGTCTCAGGATGCAGGTAGGAGATCTTCAGCTGGGTAGGGCAGAAGAGATTGTGAGAGTAGAACACGGACGTGGTTTTGTGTCACCCAATGGGCCAAGAACATGTCACAATTCCCACTGAAGTCCATGGCACATGACTAAAAGTGGCTGCATCAGTCCCCTAAAGAGGAAAATATAACCCCACTCTTGGCGCCCAAAACCTCCCAGCCGCTCTGTTGTTATGACACTTTGTGAACTATGGCCCAACTTGCCATAGCAGTGAAGTTATTGATGATGAAGTTGTACACAACCCTGCTTCTGTTATTTATTTCTAGTGCGGTAGCCCCCGAGGCCCCCAAAACAAGGATTGCCTTGCATTGTGCTAGGCATTGTACAAACATACACTCCGAAAACAGTCCCTGTCCCAAAGAGCTCCTAGTCCAGGATTCTGACAATAATACAACAGACAAATGGTGGGGAGATGGACGGACAAGGGAACAGTAGAGATGGGGTTTTATATAAGCAGCCTAACCAAACACCAGGCAGGAGTGATTTGTAAGTGTTAGGGCAAAGGCAGGTTTCCATTGTTCCCAACTTCACTACTAACCTATCCGGTTTCTTCTCTCCAGCCCCAGATGGAGGATATGGATCTCCAGAGGGCCATAGCAAACGCTCAGCCACAGCTGGTGGAGTCCCTGAGTCATGCCCCTGAGTGGCTGCTTATGAAAGCCAAATGTTTCCTCCCTCAAATGGACCTGAGTCACGTGGCTGGGATCACTGACTGCAAAGAAAAGGTCTTGTTGCTCCTTGACACGCTTGAGAATGCAGGACCGATCATTTGGAAGCAGTTTATCCAGTGCGTCTGCATGGAATGCAACCTCCCCATGGACCTGGAGATACAGCTCATGAGTGCCTCAGGAGAAGGTAAAGGAGAAAGAGCTGGGGGGTTGATCAGCAGCAGTTCACACTGAAACAGTCCCCACTGGCTTCTTCCCAAACAAGAACCCAGAACCTTGATCCCTAGCATCACCACTCTTAGGTCTAGCTGTAGTAGAGCTGATGGGCTAACTTTGTCCCTGGTGCAGCCCAGTGGCTTCGGCAGAGCAATGGCAGGAGTGAATTTTGCATTATGGGAGTGGATGTTTTAGGATGGATGATACAGTAAATGGATCAGTTTGGCATGTGTCCACTTTGCTCATTCTGGCCCTGATCCTGCAAGATACTGAGTGCTCTCAATTCCTGTTGACCTAACTGGGAGTTGAGAGTGTGCAATACCTTCCAGGCTCAGGACCTGTCTCTGGATGAGCAGAACATCCAGTTCCCAAATTAGAAATGTCCTCAGAGGCAAAATCTCTTTGGAAGGACTCAGGGCATTGACTAGTCCAAACTGGGACTGTGGTATGACAATGTATTCTGCCCCATAAGGATCCCGATCCTTTGGTGAGAGGACAAAGAGTGATAATGATACAGTACATACATCTGTCATTTTATTTTACATGCATAAGTATATTAATATTGTTGTTTAAATCATTATAAGTGAATGTCTCACCCGCTGGAACAATTTATCCCACAATCTTTATAGCCCTCCAAAAGTTGTGAGGTGGTTTTCTCCCTTTGAAAACATCAAAAGAAATTTCTTCCCAGTCTGATCCATACAGCAGAATATGGGAGATGCTCCACGTGAGCTGTCGTCATTGACAATGAATAACACCGCACAGAGCGTTATAGACACCAAACTCTTACTGAATAGTTCCTGACACATTTGGTGAAATCTTGAGCCTCATTGACTTCAGTAGATCTAGGATTTCACCGAGGGTGTCTTCTCTATTTAGCTGTTGGATATCCTCAGCCCCCAGCTTCCTACTTAGCAGGAGGTTATGCAAATAACTGACAGCTCATCTAAGCAGACAGATCATGCAAGCAGTCTTGTTATTGCACACCAACCCTGTTTGCCTCCATGACTAGCCAAGTGCACCAGGAGCAACCCACCTAGAAAAGGAAAGGGGAACAAAGTTAAATCTAGCTACAGGCTAAAAATAAGAATTGACTTGTACTTTCTTCCAGAGTTCAAGCTAAAACAAGTTTTAGCCTCAGAGTTCAGTGGTGGTGTTTTTTTAAAGTTTCTTAGATTGTAAAATCTCTAGATCAGGAGTTGTGGCTTCATGTGTTTATTTCACATAGGATGGCCAGATGTCCTGATTTTATAGGGACAGTCCCGATATTCAGGAGTTTGTCTTATATAGTCACCTGTTACCTGCCATCCCCTGTCCCGATTTTTCACACTTGCTCTCCGGTCACCCTAATTTCACAGTGCCTCATACAATTATCTTGATGGGTGCCTCTGAGTGCTACTGTAATACAAATATTAAGTAATCATTTAAAATGGTCATTGTTCATGGCTTTTGGTACCAGGCAAGTACAATGCAGAGACCTTCTACATGCATCTCTCTGCTTCCTGCTTTCAGCTGGGCCCTGGAAATGGAAATACCAAAATACTGTACTGATCTCATTGTACTTCCAGCTCGAGCAGAAATAGCAAATGTTGGCAATGACAGCAAAAAGAGTCTGTTCTTGGGAGTCTAATGTTTTTTAAACCAAAGATTCTCTGATAAATGCTGAACTTTATCCAGACCAAAGCTCCAAACCTTTGGAGGTTCACTCATCACTAGTGATACAGTGATCACCATTTACCCTGAACTGGGTCTGTGATTCTGCAGAAGTTTCCCCAACTCCTCTCCTTGCCACAGAACTTTGTTCCAAAGTCTTTTTCATTTCAAAAGAAAAATGTTCTGGTTGTTCTGGTTGTGAAGAGAAACTTCCAAATGGAAGCCACGTAGAAACCAATGTAGTGATGTCTGTCTGAATCTGCAGCCAGGCAGCCTAAAGCAACAGCTGTGAAATAAAACACCTGTTTATTTCTTTGAGGTGTTTACTCCAGGGCCGCCCGGGGGGGAGGGGGAGGAAGTGGGGCAATTTGCCCCAGGCTCCTGGCCTCGGAGGGGCCCCCATGAGAATATAGTATTCTATAGTATTGCAACTTTTTTTTATGGAAGGGCCCCCCAAAATTGCTTTGCCTCAGGCCCCCTGAATCCTCTGGGAGGCCCTGGTTTACTCTGACACCTAATAAGTTCTATATTGTTAACTATTTAGCTGCTGATAGCTTAGCACTTGTGCTTATCTCACAAGCCAAAAACATTTCCCACACATTCCTGGATAACCAAAACCTGAACTATTCTCCACCAGCTGCTGAAACCTCTACCCTTGCCTTGACAACTATGATGCATGAATGTATCATCAATACAAAAATCCATGGCAAACTGAAACTTTAGCATCAGCCTGGAATCTCCAGGCTACTGCACTGGAGTGGTGCTGAAACCAGGTGATTCATGAGTAACCAGGTTGCCTAACGAATGTGCGTCTGAGTCAAATTTAGGCTGAGGCAGGTCTAGCACTGCAAATATTGTGAGTCCCATCATGAGCCAGAGCAAACTGCATTGTGTAAAAGTTGAAGCTTCACACCTCTCTGGGAACTAAAGATGAACTGAGAGTCAGGGCACATCTGAGGTAGGCCACAGTGCCCCATGCCTGTTTGCAACTCAGCAGATTATCAGACACTAGTCAGACATTATACCGGGGTTTCCTTTGCAGCATTGTGTGTGTGTGTTTGCATGTTGCATACCTTTGGTTTTGTCAGGACGGTAATGCCACAGACAGGTGAGCCTAACTCATTTGGAGCACGTTAGAGGGAGGCACTGGCAATATCCTAATTTTATTTTAAATTAATAATTGTAGGTAATTTAAACCAGAAACAAGAAGCCTTTGCAGAAGCAAGTACGCAGTCTCCTTCTCAACCTACAGGTAAGCCTGGTGTCTATGGCATGAATGCAAGGGGATAACATTCTAGGAGTTTCCCAGCTCTCTGTGAGGTAGCTGTCTTGGGGGTAGGGTTGCCAATTTTGGTAGGATGTATTCCTGGAGGTTTCATCACATGACATAATCTTTAATTCCTGGAGACTCCAGGACAGCCCTGGAGGGTTGGCAACCCTACGTGGGGGCGGAGCCAAAGACCAGGACATTGCACCATAGAGTAGGCCACAAACTGAGCCCAGACTGAAACGCCCCATGAGGAAACCCGCTTGTACTGTGTTCTCTCATTCTCTACACGTCTCAGCTATTTGCCAAGGTTTTGATTTCCCTCTGCGTGTTTCAGAAAAGGCCAATAAGCCCTGTATTCGCCAACGGTCTACTGATTTGTTCTTCCAGTCTAGAGAAGCTCCTAGCCCCAGGGCATTATAACATGAGCCCCTCTGGCTAATTCACTGCATTTGAATGACTGGCCTCACTGCGGGTTAGTTTGAGGAAACCCATTTGGTTTTATGTTGACTTAGTGATGCTTAATGCTTGGCGGCCTGGTGTCCTGGCTATGGATTGTGGTCCAAAGGTCAGTCCAAGGCCTTTAATCCAATATATCAGGAAAGGCTCAGACTGCTCCATGACCCCACAATGCGGTTCGTGGAAGTCGTTTAATGGCCATCAGTGTGCCCAGCTTTGTGTATTATTGGATGGGTGTTACACCGCTGAAGAAACTCAGTAGGGGCCTCTCATTCGAACGGTGTCTGGTTTCTAAAATCAAACCACCAGCACATCTCCCCACCCACCCTCATGAAGAGAATTACAGCAGGTGGAGAAAGGCTGTGGTTAGTAGTGCTGCAGCACTATCACTTCCTGAGCTGGGAGGCAATTGTTCCACAAGCCAGCATCAATCGACGAAGCCTGCTGGATGTGGGTTAGCTTTCATCTAGAAAGCTCTCACCTCATTGCTGCATCCGTCCCAAAGGTGTACACAAGTAGAAATAAAAATGCTGAAACGAACCCTTTGTATTCTGTGCTCTGCAACTTGAAGAAATCGGCAGACAGAGCTTGTAGAGCTGAATTTTTGAAACCTAGGGTGCTAATGAGTGTCTGAGAACAGTGCAAGCTGATCGCTGTGCAGGGCTCTGTGCTTGGCCAGGGACAGGCAGGTTAAAAGTCAGTGTCCAAGTGTGATTTTCATGTGTGATTTTGCATGGTAGAGAAAGAATTGATCAGAAGTCCACCGTGCTCTCCATTTTGCCTAGGAAGTTCCCATTAGTGTTGTTAAGTGCTGAGGAGAGTTGTTAGGGCTGCTAACTTGTTACGGCTACTTAGTGCTGCTGTTCTCGGAGCTCTGATGCCAGCTGCACTAGCAGTTAATGCCACTTACCCCTTCAGGAGACCTCAGTGTTATTTGGAAAGAAAGACCACAGGCGTGGTTTGGTGACGAAGGCACTTGGCCAGGTTTATTGTCGACAAAGCACAGTCCTAGTGCCCCGACTCAATGGTTAAATGTACACTCACACACGTATGCCCACGACAATGGTACTAGGAAAATCAGCACACCAGGATGCTGTCCCCTAGGCTGGACAGCGATGCCCCCCCCCCCCCAGGACTTCTCCTTTTATACATGGATACAAACAAGTTACATATTACACTCCAGATGTTAGTTACCACCCTTTTACCTACTAGTTAGAACATCCTCATCCGTTATCCTGTCATCCCCTCCTTATCTTACGAGGGGTCGGTGTGTACTTGTACCATCCCTTAAGAATGTGTTTACACAGTTATTTGAGAGATCGGTATGTTTTTGTACAGTCCTGTCCAGTCAGGAATGTGCTTACTTGGTTCGCTGACACCTGGCGCATTGCTGTTCTGCCAAAGCCAGGCCTACTCTGGTTCCGAGCCTTTGGTTCAGACGGTGACTTATGCTTATGGCTCCAGCCAGGCGTACGTGGGTCTGTGAATTTAGAGACTAGCTAAGGTGTGGTCTGCACTTAAAAGTTAGGTTGACACAGCTTCACTGGACATGCGTGTGAAAAAACCCACACCATTGAGCAGCACAGTTTTGCCGATCTGTTCCCCAGTGTAGATGCAGCTACGTTGGGGAAGCGGTGTTCCTACACTGATGGGAAAAACCCTTCCGTCAACATAGGCTGCATCTACACCCTGGACTACACTACATTACCCAGCTATGTGGGTAGAGTCACTGTAGTGTAGACATACCCTAAGGACTGGAAAATTAGGTCAACCCAGCTATGTAGCTCAAGGGTGTGAACAATTCCCACGGAAGAAGTTTTCTGTTGACTTAGCTACCACCTCTCAGAGAGGTGGGTTTACTACAGCGACGGAAGAGCTCCTGCAACTGTGCCGTTGCAGTGTTTCTAGTGTAGACATAGCTTGAGATTCAAATTCATAGGCACATGTAGCTCCTGCAGGGTGACAGGCAGAATGTGGCTTTGAGTCACTATTGCCAGTGGCCCTGATATCCTGTAATTTGTGCATGTGCAACACACACCCACGTTTTGCACTTGAGGGTTTACGCACACAGCTAGATAGCCATGCAATGCTTGTATCCCCAGAACTGTGCATGCACGCGGAGTTGGCACTTGCATAAAGTCGGCCCGCATTTGTGTGTGTACAAACACGACTGCAAATCGGGACCGATATGCCTAAATTACAGTGTGGTTATGGAAATGTTAAGGATACTGTGGGCTGTTTTCTGTGGTACAGTGTGCAGCTGTAGTCTGTGGTATAGAGTGCAGCTTTTGGATCTATTATCTCAGTCCTGAATCTGCAAGAATCGCTCTCTTTTACGTATTCAAAACCACATCCTACCCAACCCACCTCTCACTACTTCCTTATATAATGTACAATTGAGAGGATTTTTACCAGACTACAATCCCTATATCTTTGCATCCACTTCTTTCTCTTCTCTGTATACCCACAAAACCTCAATATGGCAAAGTCCTGGCCCTTTACAATTTCATCTGCCCAGCTCATATCTGTTTAGATTGTAAGCTCTTGGGGGCAGGGACTGCCTCTTACTATATATGTGTGCACCACCTTGCACCATGGGGGGGCCTGATCCCAATTGGGGCTCCTATCATAAGAACATAAGAACGGCTGTACCGGGTCAGACTAAAGGTCCAGCTAGCCCAGTATCCTGTCTACCGACAGTGGCCAATGCCAGGTGCCCCAGAGGGAGTGAACCTAACAGGCAATGATCAAGTGATCTCCCTCCTGCCGTCCATCACCACCCTCTGACAAACAGAGGCTAGGGACACCATTCCTTACCCAGCCTGGCTAATAGCCATTAATGGACTTAACCACCATGAATTTATCCAGTTCTCTTTTAAACGCTAATAGCAATGAATGATATCCTTTATCGGTAATGTTAGGAGCTAGGTGTATGGAGTGAGTTAAAACCTCACTGAGATCGATAAGTGTGAACACACCTTTCAATTAACATAACTGTAAGGATAAACCCCAGCCTAAACCAGCAGGAGTATGTGAACCCACCCAGGAGCTTTTGCTGAGTATTGTTTTGAGTAGGCGTGTGCGGGAATGGAAGGGAGGGAAGGCAGAACACAGAGAAACTGAAAACAGACAGAAATTGTAAGAGAGAGACAGACAGCTGGAAGGAGCAGCGGAAGAAATCTAAGGAAAGGCTTTTGGGTCAGGGTGCAGATTGAGAGAGAGCTGTGACCATGTTCCATTGTAACAGGCCAGATTCCATAAACTCCGCCACCCAGTTCTGTCAGGGTCTGGGGAATTGCGCACACACATCACAAGAGGCTAGGCGACATCCCCGGGTCGGGGGGGGAGACTCATTCTGCCTGATTTCAAACACCCATGAAGGTCATCGGTTGGGAAGTTTGGCTCAGTCTTCATTAGGTTTCTGTCTTGCTTAGGAAAGAGGGTTTAAAGAAAAAGAGCCGAGGGAGAAAAATTTAGATGCAAAATTGAATCCGGCCCCTGCTGTGCCTGGCCGTACTATGGTGATGGACACTTGAAAACGCTACTGTAACTAGATGGCTCATAAGGGGGACTCCTCTCTCCCTGATCCAGAGCAAGGCTGCCTTGTTAAAGGTGAATGGCCTTTGTGGGGAGGCTGGAATATGCACTTAGATTGCACACAAAAAATTGCCACCTCTAATGAGCCCAAGAAAGAGCTTTGGAGGCTTTCAAGACGTCCCTCTGCATGAGGCTCCCCCGTTCCCAATTCCAAGCCACAGCGTCCTTGGAACTTTGGTGGGTTCCCGCTTCATGGCTCAGTGTTACCTTCCCCCATCCAACGCCCCAGTGCTCAGGTAGAAATCCATTCGCATGCCTCTGTGTGTGGCAAACTGCGGCTGGCGCTTTGCTCCAATTGGGACCAGTGTAAGATGATCAAACCCCAATTCGCTGGGCAGCCCTCCAGAGAATCAGATCAAACATGTTGCTTTTTAACCTGGATATAAATTACAATTAGGAATGTTGAGGCACTTTAACCAAGCAAACTGTTTGTTAGGCAGCTGGTGCACTGTGGGCACTACTTATGAGGCTGACTGGTATTGTCTTCACCCTAGCTGGCAATGATATAACGAGATCCAATGACTGGAAATTGAAGCTAGATAAATTCAGACAATCAATACGGAACAATGAGGACTACTAGCCATCGCAACAATTGGATTCTCCATCACTGGCAATTTTGAAATCAAGATTGGATGTTTTTCTAAAACACTTGTAGTGCAAACAGGAATTAATTCAGGGAAGTTCCTACTTCTTACTGTACAGGGGGCCAGACTAGATGATCACAGTGGACCCTTCTGGCCTTGGAATCTAAGAATGGATATTGGCAGACTCAGTGCACTTTGCAACAGTCCCTCAGAGAACGGTCTCGTTAACGCGTTGGTGATCAATATGTCTTAGCACCATGCTTCTTAACAGATGGTGAAAGGATCCATCGAAAACATCTGACTACCATTTTCTAATTCTGAACACTTTTTTTTTATAAATACCCCTTTTAATTTAAAGTGTTGCCATGAAGATATTCAAACCCACGAACAGCCTCTAATGTTACACTTACATTGTTGTGCATCCAGTCAACTATGGGATCAAAGTGACAGAATTTACACCCTCCCCCGATACGTGAAGCACAAATGAGTGTTATCTCCACAAATCAGGTGACGTTGACATTCTGTTATCCATCCCCATAGATGACTGCACTGCACACATGCTTTTCCCCAGCAGTTGCAGGGTTTTGATTGGCTGTTGTTGACGGGATGCTATACCATGTGATCTCAAGCTCACAATGCTGCATTAATATGTTTGCTGCTTTTCAACTTTCAGGACTTGAAAGGCGTCGTCATGGAAGCAGTTCTCATCCCAATGGTAAAGAGTCTAAACAGCAACGATTAGGTATGTGGATTTCGCAAACGGTGCATGAGCATGTTCATCTGTGGGGAAATGCCAAGTTATCGACTTTGTATGTGTCATATATAGTATCGACCCAAGTGCCCATTATTTTTCTTGCATGCCAGTAAATAAATCAAAAGCACCAAGAAATCATCCTGCCTCATTATGGGAAGCCTGTGTTGAGAAGCTGCATTATCTAATATGCAACTGATCTTAAAAAAACACAAAGACAATGGGCGTTTGCAAAAAACTGGCTCAGAGGTGCACTAAAAACCCTTCTGGAAAAAGATGGATTAAAATAATCTAGAATAAAAACCCTTTGAAGGAATTACATGCCCAGAAGGTCTCTCACAGCTTGTTATTCATGAACGATTTTATTTTATTTTTTTTTGGACTGGGGAACTAGTTCAGGAAACATGCAAGTTTATTACAAAACTCCAATAAGCCACTAGAGCTAGTGTGGCACATTTGAAAATGCACTTGTATGATTTCAAAACCCAGAGAAATTGAGGAAGAATTTAATTTCCACAAACTGTAGGTGAGACAGAATAACACCAACATTGGCCATAGGGCCTGAGCCAACACCCACAAAATATGAATGGCCAAATTATAGCTGACTTACATTGGTGCACAATAGGAAGCAACAGAGGGGCTGGAGAGAGCAGGGTTGTAGGGCGCTAGCTAGCATTTCCAGTAGGTACTAGTGTGTTCTCAGAGGGGACATGTCTCAGGAGGTCAGGAACAAGGCCTTGGTCCCACCACATTGTGAACTCGGAGAGTTGTTTGGAAACCGAAATGGGTGCAAAGCAAAATGTTGGATTGAGACAACTCTCAGCTTGGAGGGGGTGGACTCTGATCCCAGCTCAGGATCCAAATTCATGGCTGTAATGAAAGACTGTATCATAATGCACATGCACAAGGTGGGTATGAGATAAGGTTGCAACCCTAATTCTGGCATTGCTTAACTTTTGGGTGCTTGACTTTGCAACCTTCACATTCTTTTAACTTAGTTTTTAAAAAAATATAATTTCTAGGGTTTTTAAAAAACTTAATAATCGAAAAAAATAAAACCCAGCAAAATTCTATCACATGGAACCGTATTGATTCTCTATCTGGGGCAGCAGCCTGGCTGGGATTTTTAGATCCACAGCACAGTCCTCTACCACTCAAACTAATGGAGTAGCTGGGAGCAGTAGAAGGCTGTTATCTTTTATGTGGACCTGCCCCTAGAGGGGGGTGGGGACACACATTTTACCTGTATTTTTCACGCCTATTTGCTAAACAGCAAGGCAATGTTGAGACTCAGGACTCATGGATTCAATTCCAGGTTCTGGAGGCAAGTAAGCTCTAGTTATGGACTCTTCTGCCCCCTCCCCCCCCACCATTTCTCCCTGTCTCCTTCTGCTCCCTCTCCAGCCCCACCCCCCCAACCTGGTTATCAACACCCCAGCTCCTGCCCCCTGCTCCTGCACCTGTTTTGTCCCACCCCTGCAGCTATCCTGACCCCTCCACAGCTCCGACTCCTACCTCATCTTCTGCCCCTCTCTACTCTTGCCTCTTTCCTCCCCTTCTGGCTCTAGCTCGTATCCTCCCCCAGCCCCATTCCTCACCTCCCTGCATTTGAGCCAGGTTGTGTCTTCCTTCTCCTCCATGCTACCTGGGCACGAGCAAGGGTAGCTCTGAGAACACAGGAGAGGCAGAGTCTCCCTGCTCTCAATTCCAGTGCCTGGCGCTACGTCAGCTGCCAGGAGGAGCAATGTCAAGGGAAGTCCCAGCTCATCCCTTGCAGCCTTGGCCGGAGCGTGCTCGGTTGCTCCGTGGGAATGGCGCACGTGCAGGCTGGTCACAGACAGGAGCTGTGAGGGGACGGAGCGTCCTCAGTGCAGATGTAACCTCCAGAGAATTTAGCTGCCAAACGCTAACAAAGTCCTACTAAGCATGTGGGAACTGAGATTTTTTCAGAGGCTAATAACTTGGCCAAATTTGGACACATTTTCACAGGCACAGCAAAAGGCCACCTAAAAGTCAAATGTTAAGTCCCCCTGCTCCAAAGCATGGCTATACTACAGCTTCTCAGCGATGCGGTTGGAAGAATTTTTTTTTTTAAACAGAGATGGTTGAGCCATTTTAGCTGAAATTTTTAAAAAAAATTCAGCCTGAGGCAGACACCCAGCATGGGAAATTTCGGCCTGAATGGTTAATGTTTGGCAAAGTTAGAAGCAACTGAAAACAGGGTCTTATAATGGGAAGTGTCAGGCAACCTTAACTATAGGCATCAATACCTACATTATCTATAATAAAAAAGAGAAATACATCCAGATGCTATCTGTAAGGGACTCTGCCCTCCTGAGGGAGGGAACGCCTGTTAGGTTCCAGTCATTGCCCTTTATCTGTCCCTCTGTCTCCTGCATTCTTGGCAGCCTAACAAAACACCCTAGGAAATGTTTGAAATAAAAATAGTCCACAGTCTCTGGGAGGGATCTCAACAGTGAACACCTTTCCTCAGAGTTAATCAGTGTGTTACTGGTCTGAGCGCCATACAGAAAATTGATGAGAAAGACGACAGGGATACTTTGTGTATTTCTGAACCAGCCACTGGGGTCCTAATGGGGACCTTTTCTAACCCTTGGCTAATTTCCATAGATTTTAAGGCCAGATGGAACCTTTATGATCATCTAATCTGACCTCCTGCACAACTCAGGGCAGAGAGCCACATCCAGTAATTTCTGCATGAAGCCCGTAACTTCTGTTTGAGCTGTGAGCTTGTCTTACTCCCTATATTGTGTGAGGGAGAAGTATGAATCCACAAAACCAGGTCCATGAGGCAGAGGATGGAAGATACGCTACTTGGGCAAATAACACTATGTAATTGTGTATGCACGTGGTTTGTTATTGCAAGGTCGTACAAGAGTGCTGCTTTGTTTACTAATTACTTGGTGTAGGGTTGCTGGGCTGGATATACTGCTCTGCAATTGGAGGGCTGTGGTATTGATTTATTGTTTTAAATGCATGTTTTGAAGCATGGATTAAAAAAAAAATTACATAGGTAAAGAATCACATGGACTTTGCAAATAGATCGGGGCCGGGGTGGGGCGGGGGGAAGTACTTTAGACCATGAACCTCCCAATACAATCAGGGTCTATTTCAGTGGTTAAGCAACGGGCCAGATCCTATATGAACTGGCACAGCTCCACGGTCTCACCGTGTTTATTATGGTGCAGATCACTTTTCATGAAGTTGATCTAGCTGTTTCCCATTACCACTCTCACACACACACTCTCTCTCTGTCATTCTCTGTCTCTCAGATTCAGCTGAAAGGTACCGGCATCTCATCATTGCTTCAATGTGCCAAAGGTATGAAAATAAAAGAGCAGCGGTAGCAGCTGTCCTGGGACAAGCACAGCCACCAGCTTTCAGCCAAGCCTTCGTCAACCTAGTCATCCGGCAGAGTAAAGCTTCCAGACTAAAGGAGAGAGCAGATAAACCCAGGGAGGACTCGGCAGGCATGCAGGAAGCAGAGGAATGTGTGGACACGGCTGTGAAAGTCTCAGACCTGTTTGAAAGTGTCGTTAGCTCGGGTACCACCAGGGTTATCCTTTTGTTTGGCAAACCGGGGATGGGAAAGACCATGCTGATGCATCGGCTTTGCCAGAAGTGGGCAGAAGGAGCTTTGCATCAATTTCTGTTTACTTTTCTCTTTGAGTTTAGGCAGCTGAATCTGATCAGCAGAAAGCTGACTTTAAAGGAGCTGTTGTTTGATTTGGTCCTTCAGCCAGAAGATAGCCCTGATGCCGTATTTCAGCACCTCCTGGAGAACGCCCAGCGCATGTTGTTCATCTTTGATGGGCTGGATGAATTTGTGGGGAACATAGGCCAGCCATCCTCGCCTTGTGTAAGCCCTGCCCTCCACAGGCCTATGTCCATATCTGAGCTGTTTGCCAATTTCTGCTTTGGAAAACTTCTCCCTGGGTGCACGGTGCTGGTCACCAGTCGGCCTAAGAAATTACCCGACTTTCTGTTAAGCAGAGCAGATTTGCTGGCAGAAATTTGGGGATTTGACCACGAGAAGGTTGAAGAGTATGCCAGCCACTATTTCCACCAACATTCCTTCAAAGAGCAGGCCATCGCTCACCTGAAAAACAACAGCAAGCTTCTGAGCATGTGCTTGATCCCTGCCTTGTGCTGCATCGTCTGCGTCTGTTTGGAATATTTGCTGAGGAAGCGTTTGTCGAAGGTGGAGCTTCCTCAGACCATGACACAATTTTATATCAAAATGCTCCTCATCTTTATAAGTAAACAGCAGACAGAGGGCACTGTGAGTGAAGACACGCAGCTGAATCACCACCGGACGGCCATTTTGGGCCTGTGTGACCTTGCACTGAAAGGCCTGGAAGAGAAGAAGATAGTGTTTTACGTTGATGATATCCCAGAGCATGTGAAAGAGTTCGCTTCCCTACATGGGTTGCTGACTGTCTTTGAGGTGAAGAGGAGTGACAGCCTCCCAGAGGCCGGCCATGCCTTTGTGCACTTAAGTCTTCAGGAGTTCTTTGCTGCACTGAACCTGATGATAAATAACACAATCGACGGAAGCTACCTGAAGAAAAAGTTCTCTCTAAAGTCAAAGTGGACTTTAAAAAATGAAGCCAGGACCGAGTTCATGGAGAATTTTCACATCTTTCTCTCAGGCCTCTCTTCGAAAGAGTGTCGGACGTTCCTCACCCAGTTAGCTGAACGAAATCAGGTGTGGGTGCGGGACAAGCAAGCTGCCATCTTGCAGTCGTTGAAGAAGCTGGCAGCTACTAATCTAACGGGCCCCAAGATAATTGAACTGTGCCATTGCACTTACGAAACACAAGACCTTGAATTAGCCCAGCATGTCGGGAGCCAGTTAAATTTCAAGTATGAATTTAGAAACTTTAGATTGACCCCTCTAGATGTTTCAGCTTTGGTTTTCATCATTAACTGTGGCCGGGATTTGACTCACTTGGATTTTGCAGGCTGCCCCATGGAATTAGATTGTTTGGAGGTTCTAGCCAACTGTAAAAGTATAGAGCATCTGAGGTAAGAAATGCATGAAAGACATGTGCATTTGGATTGAGATTTTGAAGGGATTTCTATGCTCATTTACCATTAAAATGAATGGGAAATGGGTATCTAAATTACCTATCAATGGAGGGCTCAGATATCTAACCGTGAAGTCCCAAGCATTTCACTTCTGGGTTGCTGGTTCACAGCCAGCCAGCATTGATAGCGACTGAAATTTGCTGCCTTCTGATTGCTGTTAGATATTGTAGATGAAATGCGTTTATTTTCTCAGTCCAGTTTCTACTGGACAGGTGCCCCCATTGCAGTGGGCAGGTTCAGCAGAGAGATCAAAGACGGAAAGTGAACTACCATCTCATCGCTAAAGCTGGTACTTGACAGCTGGGGGAGCGGGGCAAAATAGACACTTCAATCAATTTGATACCTTTTATGAGTGCTAAGTTCACTTTGAAGATTGCGTGCATTCCAGGTCACTCTGTGCTACTAATTTACCATAGTGTAAATGGTCTATTTCTCCAATAACAGCTTTAAAGCATTCAGACAAAATTCATCCCTGGTCTAACTCTATTGACTTCAATTGCTTTACACGCAGGAACCATTAGGCCTTTCCAGTTCATAAGAGTCAGATTTTCACTGCTCACCGATATAACCGTGAGCAGAAAATGTCCTTAAATAAGGAATTACTTATCTTTATCATAGCACTAGCAGAATGCTCAGTCAGACTGTCTCCACAGTTTAGCAACAGCTACTTAGTATCTTAGGGCTGGTCTACACTGCCGCGCTAGTTCGGCGGCTGGGGATCGAAGTTCCGAGTTCGATTTATCGCATCTGGTCTGGACGCGATAAATTGAACCAGGAAGTGATCCCCGTCGACTGCGGTACTCCAGCTCAACGAGAGGAGTACCGCGGAGTCGACGGGGAGCCTGCCTGCCGCGTGTGGACCGCGTCTGAACCGCGGTAAGTTCGAAGTAAGGTATGTCGAATTCAGCTACGTTATTCACGTAGCTGAATTTGCGTACCTTACTTCGACTTGGGGGGTAAGTGTAGACCAAGCCTTAGTGTCTTAGTAACCAAGCCAATAAAGTCTTTCCCCCTTTGTACATTTGATTATGTTGAAATGGTATTTAAAGAACTAATATGTTTAGAAATAATTATGATGCAATAAGGTGGCTGGATCATAGATAATGTTAGAAAAAAATAAAGAGTTCTGTTTTGTTCTATCATGTTTTAGCCCACTTTTTTATTGTTTTAGCTTTAGGAGCAGGAAATATGGTGACGAATTTGCAGCTGCTCTTTCCAAAAGCTTACCGAAGATCAAGAGTCTGAAGAAACTAGAGTAAGCATTTAATATTAGGGTCAACCCATCTTACTTTGCTCTAGTGCTGAATAGGGAATGGGTTCCCCTTTGGATTTTGTACCACAATCTTATGTCATATGTCATATGTATTTTAAATCTTTTGCTCTGGGTGATGTTGTCTAAAATATAATCTGTTGCGTTGTTTAGTGCAACACAAAAATACAGAAATACATGAAAAATATGATTGTATATGGTACCTTTTGGGCATTGCTACCAAATGCCAGGAGATAGCTGCAAAAGATTTGCATCACCTTATCCTGCTGTAATGATCCTTTATGTCTATTAGAGCGGATTGAAACACTTTTTTTCTTTCACTTTTTGGACAAAAGCTTTTTGGTTTTCAGGTTTTCAAAAATCAATTTATTTTTTTTGAGGAAAACGAAAACACTTTCTGCAAAATATTGAGTTAAGTTGAAAATCCAATTATTTGTCTGTCCCCCCCCCCGAAAAAAAAGCTTCAATGGAAAATTTTTGACCAACCCTAATATCTGTACAGCACAGGAAGGATGGTCTATAGAGGTAGGTGTGGTGATCTGTGGGTTACTTGTCTAGGGTTGTCTGTAGGGTTCCATTGTTGAAGCTGATTGTGGTGTCCAGGAGGTTGATGCTAGTGTGGGAGTGTTCCAGAGAGAGTTTCATGGATGGGTAGTAGTTGTTGGAGTTGTGGTGGAAATCTATAAGAGAGTTTAAGCCGTCTGTCCAGAGGATGAAAATATTATCCATATATCTCAGATGTATCACTGATTTCATGGTGCATTTGTCTCCATGGACCTGTAGTAGTCAAATCCTTGTTACCTATTTCTCAATGAGTTATTTTAGCCCCAAGATCCACCCAACACTCCTAACTACCTAAAATAAACTCCTACATTTTTGATAGACCAAGTCCAGTACAAGAAGCTTGCACACTTAGACCTGGTCTACACCTAAAACTTAGGTTGACCTAGCAACATCACTCAGAAGTGTGAAAAATCCACACCGCTGAGAGACGTAGTCAAGCTAACCTTAGCCCCAGTGTAGACTCTGCTAGGTTGACAGAAGAATTCTTCCATCAACCTAGCTACCTCCTCTAGAGGGGGCGGATTTATTATGTGATGGAAAAACCCGTTCCATCGTCATAGCAAGCGTCTATGCTACAGAGGTTAACCCTGGTCTCATTTTATGTCTGTATACACCTAGAACTTCAAAGGCAGTCTACCATTAACTATGGTAGACATGTGCAGTTCTGCAATCTTCGTTAACAACAGTAACTTGTTCAGTTTTAAAGCTACTTTACAACAATCTTGGTTGGAACCTGTTCCAAAACAAAGACACATGCTGTAATTCTGTGGCAAGCATGTATACTTCCTTACTAATTAGGTACTCCGTTTCAGGAAGCGACCAATTGACTGATTTGGGTTGTCTCGCGTAACAGGCTGGGACTCACCACCATGGTGCCTCCTGCGGGTCATTCTGGGAATTAGCTCTGTCTTTTCGCAGAGCGCCCTCCTCCGGTGGTGTCTCGCCTGCGTGATTTCTGCTCCGGACCTGTGTTGCCTCAAGGACCGGCGGGATCCTCTTCAGGACACAGGCCTCCAGCCCCACATGCCCCATTCTGTTCTCCTTCCCTTCCGGGGGAACAGCAGTCCTCTGTCCAGCCACTCACCTCTGTGGCCAACTGCAGCCCGAAGTTCTAGCCAATTACCTCAGTGGCAAACTGCAGCCCTTCACTGGCCACTCCCCTCAGTGGCAAGTGGGGGCAAGGGAGACCCGGGCCTGGCCACTACTCCAGGTCCCGACCCAGGGACCCTCTAAGCGGCAGCCACACGCTGTGTCTAGCCCTAGCACCTTCTCTGCCCCTGTATCAGGGCTTCAGTCTTTCAGCCAGTCAGGCTGGAGCTCCCTCTGCTCCCCGACCCGGCTCAGCACTGCTCTGTCCAGGGTGCTGGCAGTTTCCTCAGCCCTTCAGGGACCCAGCCCTTTCTCCCAGGGCTCCAAAGAGGGAACTGCCCCACTGCCCTGTCTCTCTCTTTATATATGGGCCTGCTCTGCCCTGATTGGCTGCTCATTGCAGCCCCTCTCTGATTGGCTGTCTGCTGCGCAGCCTCCCCAGGGCTGCTTTTAACTCTTTCTTCACCAGTGTGGGGCAGACGCCCCATCACATCTCCCAAAGAAAGTCTGTGTGTTACTTATCACTAGGTCTTTGCTCAGACATCACCTTTCAGCTCAGTAATTGTCCACAGCAGGACTCGACATGCAAACACAGATTGAGTGAAGGATGGATACAACTATAGTCTTTTCCCGGTGTGCTAACAGGCAACCTGAACTGCTGGAAAATAGAAAGAGACTTTAAAGGTGGTCTGTCTGAGGTAGGTATTTGGTGTCACCAGGAGGACTCCGAGATTGCTGGCCCAGGAACTCAGTCTTCTCTCTTCCAGGTGCCTTTGGCTTTTGAGAAGTGATGTGCTGAAGGACACTAGTCATTTTATCCTATTTCTGCTGGCTGGTCCAACTTGGTTCCTCTTTTTGGAGGTTCTGGCATGTCGACTCATACTTCTTGTGAAGATTCAAAATGTCCAACCAAAAGGAGAGTTATCCTCTCTTACCATCCCATCAGGGAACCAGGCATCAGCTTTTGAGTTCTTGCAAATGAGACTAGGAATTTCCTGAATCATTGTGTAATACATCTTGTCACACCAGCTAGTGTAAGACAAGTTAGGCCATAACTGTTGGTACAACCATCTTGGGACACGCCTTGAACACTGGTTGGTCCGGTCAGCAGCTTACCTCCGCAAGTCCCTTTCTGTGACCCCTTTGTGGTGCGTCCCTTGGCCAATTTTGCAATTATTGCTTGTTCAATTTGCAGTTTCTCCATCAACATCCTGCTAGCTGCTGAAATGTCCAATTTAAAGTTCATATAATTGATATAAAGTCTCTTCGTAATCTTTGGTGCTCTTTAAACTTGTTTTAACAGTCCATTATACAATGCAAAGTCCCTTCAAGAACTGTTGTTCTCCGGATGGCCAGAACAGCTGTGTAAATAGTCCAGGCCTGTTCTCCTTGTTTCAACAACCACAGTAGGACCTTAGTATGCATGACTGAGCCTAACAATTACATTTGTGATTATTCCACTCTAGCCAAGTGTCCTTATACTCACACTATGTGCTTTCGATGCATCTGGTTTACTGACTCTTCAGCACTAACTTGATAGCATAAGCATGCTTGATTGTAAACATTAGCCTTACTCCGTCTCTTGATCACATAAACTAAAAGGAATCAGTATGAATGCAATTTCGTTCTTTCCTGAGAGGATTGCACAGCAGGCAAACCCTGGCACTGAAGTTTACAATAAGTAATACAGTTGACTTCCCTTTTACACATTTTAATTATAACATTAGATTCCATCACGTTCCCCACTGGGCTCTCAGCAACATCTCCAGCAGCTTCTTCCCCAGTCACTTTCTTCAGGATCCCTTCTAGTAGCTCTGTCATTCTTTCCCTTACCTCCCTGAGCTGAGGTCTGGGCTACCATCTGAATCTGAGGGGAGAAACTACATGCCAAGCAGATTTATTTCAAGTTTATTTAGACTTAATTAAGTAGAACCCCAGCAAGGGAATTTGGTTTTTATCTTTTGGACTGTGTGAAGTTCTTAAGGGGCTCTGTGAGAAGGGAAACTGAGGCAGGGTGCTGCAGAGCCATGCTTTGCCTGCAAGGGGCATTGGCATTGGGGTAGCACCTGGATCAGGACCCCATTGTGCTAGGGTTTTAGCTGAGTGGACGGAGAGGAAGGATGGGATCTTAGAGATGTTATGCAGGAAGAAGTGGTGAGATTTAGGCTATGTCTACACTACCACTTACGTCGGCAAAACTTATGTTGCTCGGGGGTGTGAATATTCCACCCCCCTAAGCGACTTAAGTGACACTGGCATAAGCGTAGTGTGCATAGTGCTGTGTTGGTGGGAGAGCTTCTCCCGCCGATGTAGCTTCTACCGCTCACGGGGCTGGTTTTTCTAAGTCGACGGAGCTTTCTCCCATCGGCATAGAATGTCTTCACCACACGTGCTGCAGCGGCGCAGTGGTACCGGCATTGGTGGTGCATGACTCCTCCGTGTGGGGAGGCTGTGAGCACCCGGACGGTGGCCCCGCCTTGAGACCCGCCCCTGCTCAGCCTCCTCTCCTGGAAGCTCCACCCACGCTCCATCCCAGGCCCCCCGAGGCCTCCTCCACGAGCCCTCCCCCCCCGTCATTTGTGCCTCTTCGCCTCATCCATGAGGCCCTCCCACCTGCCGCTCACACCTCTTTTCTCCTGCCTCTGGCCCCCCTGCCTGCCGCTTGTGCTGCTTTGCTGCCTCCCTCAGGTCCCCCCACCCGCCTGCCGGTCGGCCGTTCCCATGCATGCGCATCTTCACACCCTCCCCCGGCCCCACCCGCCCGTCGGCCAGCCAGCTGCTCGCGCATGACTCTTCACTCCCTGCCATGAGGCTCCCATGCGGGCGGAGCGGGGACAGGAAGAGGCGGAGCCTTGAAGGAAGAGGACGAGCGGGACCAGGGCCTCGGGGCAAAGCGTGGGTGGGGCCACAGCCAGGGTGCCCACCCTTTAGGCGGCAGCACGCTCCGAAGGTGGCAGGCAGGCTGTTTGGGGCGGCTTGGCCTCCCCTGGCCTCTTATACCCGCCGCCTGTGTGTACCCATACAGCTGCGCCGCTGTAGGTGTAGACAGGCCTTTCGGGATGGCTGGGCCAAGTCGAAGACCATGCGTAGGTTATGGGTAAGGCTGCGATTCTCTCACAGATTCCGTGGCTTTCCACAACCTCCGTGACTTCTGAAGTGGCTGGTGTGGCTGACTGCAGCGCTGCCCGAGCAGCCAGCCCTGAGGCCAGCTGCTCGGGTGGCCCCTAGGCCATTGCTCGGGAGGCCCCAGGCAGCTGGCTCTGGGGACCGTGCAAGCAGCGGCCAGTGTGGCTGGCTCCAGGGAGTGCCCAAGCAGCAGTCCTGTGGGCACCCTGGGGACCGCCCGAGCAACAGTGGTCCCGAGGTGGCTGGAGCAGCATCCCCAGAGGCGCCCGGAGGCCGTCTGGAGAACGGTCCCCAGGGAGCAGCAGCCGGGGGCAGTCAACCCCCAGCGGGGCCCCCCGAAGCAGCAGGGCCCCAGAAATCGAGATTTAGTCAGGGGTATTTTTGGTAAAAGTCATGGATAGGTCACGGGCCATGAATTTTTATTTATTGCCGATGACCTGTCCATGACTTTTACCAAAAATGCCTGTGACTAAATCTTAGCCCTAGTTATGGGGCTGAGTGACGCTGAGGGTGCTGTCCATGGTGATGGAGAAAGAAAGGAGTGGGCAGGGCTTAGGGTGGGAAAGATGAAGAGCTTCATTTTGGCGGGGTTGAGCTTTTGTTTGGAAGCCGTTTGGGGTATATTTTCCTCTACTTCCTGCGGCTTTCCCCTGCCTGTTCAGAGACTGAAAAGAGGGGACATTGAATGTCAGGAACTCAAATTCCTGCAAGCTGCGATGGATGCAGAGCAAAGTGATGGTGCTGGAGCCCAGTTCTGCCCTTTGTCCCCAGGGGCGTAACGTCTATTGACTGAGAGCAGAATCAGGCCACACGCCTCTGCATCTTCCTCCTGGTCACATGCTGGACGTGGAACCCAGAGACATCCCAGACACTGTTTCTGCCATGAGCCTGGCGGATTTGTACTGAGCCGACATTTTCAATTTGCTTTGTGTTTTTCAGGTTGACTGGTGGTAGTATCACTGCCCTGGGGCTAACTGGCCTGGCAGAAGTCTTTCCAAACTGCCTTCAACTTGAAGAAATAAAGTAAGTGACCTGCGTTATTGGGGGTGAGCGATGCTGTTAAAATCAGCTGAGAATTATTTTTGGGGGGGAATATTAACCAGGCAAACTGATTTGCAGCTTGCAGGACAATCGACTGAGGGACCAAGACATGGGAAAGGTGATTGAAATGCTTTCCAGAGTGGAAAAGTTAAAGATGATTGAGTAAGTAAGAGATTTAGTGACTTAAGCCCATTTAAAATGTCAGCTCTGAAGAAGCAAATAATCCCATCGAAGGGTCAAGTAGTTTAGGGTCAACATCAGGTCAGGGAGTAATGCCAGCAGTTCCTGGGGTCAGTCAGGCGCACAGATTTTTCACAGTGAGGTGAGCAGTCCAACTTGCAGCTCATGGGCTGGCCTGTGGGATGATTTTGTCCAGCCCCCAAAGGTGTCTGCCCTCACCCCTAGCAGACCTGCTCTACAAAATGGTGTCCTCTGCACAGTGGGACTTTACCATTACAATATGTGTGAGGTCATGCCGCACGGAGGGCGCCATTTTGTAGAGCACTTATTCCTGGGTGTGGCCTGCGGAGGTGCCCCAAAACTTGCATCTGGCCCACAGCACTGAAAAGGCTGGACCACAGATCATCAAATTCCACCCAAATACCCTTACATCATGGAACCTAATGACTTCAGTTAAACCAAAGCATTTTAGTCCTCAGGAGACTAAACGGTTGTGTGCCACTGGGGAACAGGAAAGGCCGAGACGCAGTCAATGCCTGAGGCCCCTTCCATTAACCATTAGAACAAACTACCAAAGGAAACAGTGAATTCTTCACCTCTTGAGGTCTCTAGATCAGAACTGGTTATCTTCCTAGAAGATCTGCTTTAGCCAAACACAAACACAAGCGACTGGGCTCAAAATGGAAGTAAGAGGATGAAATTTGATGGGAATAATCTAATAGTCGCTCCTGGTTTTAATATCTAGGAAGTTATGTACCATTAGATTTCATTAAAAAAGAAAATAATCCCCAGCCTCAAGGTTTTACTGAACCTAATATGAATAGAAATGTTTTCTTGGGATGTGCTTGTGTATGCAAATATAGGGGGGAAGAAGAATCGGAGTCAAACATGCCTCTGCCAGGCTGGAAAGTGGAAACCCTGACACAACAGCATTGGCCTTGTAATGCACAGGAGCCTTCAGTGAAACAGGTTTTCAACTGAAAAAAGAAGAGAGTGAAATTTACCAAATAAACCAATCTAATTTTAGGGGCTGTTCCGTCAAACCCTTACACGTGTGCATAACTTTACTCGTGAGCAATTCCACTGATATCAGGCAGAGTCAATTTATGCCCATGCAAAAGTGTTTGCAGGATCAGGGTGAGTGAAGTCCAAAACTTAAATAAACAGCATAAATAAAAGGAAATTATATTTTTAAAAAATCTTTTGAGTTTTACTAGTAACAGGTTAGATTTTTTTAAGCATAAGATTTTTATCTTGAGTGTATTCCTTTAAAGTGCGGTACTTTACATCTGTTATTTTGCTACAGCAAACTATGAAAAATGTACTGTATGTATTAAATATTTTATCATAAATGCCTGTTGTATCACCTACATTATTAGTAAGTGTTTTGTTTAGCAGAAAAAGGTGAAGAACTGTTTTACTATCCTATAGCTCTATCAAGTGTCCCTGATTCTGAACTCAGGGGCAGCAGTTGCATTTGAAAGAGTCCATAAAATAGAATTGAATTGCGAACAGACAGAAATGTCTGTTGGCTGAAACCAAACAGGTATAGTTTTAAATAGTCAACAAATTCATTAGGGGTGTGTGTGTGTGTGTGTGTGTGTGTGTGTGTGTGTGTGTTGAGAAGCAGTGGTTGTGTATTAAATAAAAGAGACTTACTATCAAATACAAACAGCTGATATTGTGATGCTCTGACTATTATCCCCAGTTTAAGCCATAATGATATTTCGGTGAAGTCTGTTCTTACTTTGGCGAAGGGAGCCACTACTTGTCCAAATGTTACTGAACTACATATAAGGTACTGGTAATATATACTTTATTTCTCTAACTGTTGACTTTAAAAATTGACTTCTCTTTTCAGTAGAATTGCTCCGTAATAAAGATTGGTGCAAATTGAGTTCAATTCTCTCCTCTTATTGACAAGTTGAAACATGGAGTTTGATTCAGTTACATTATACAATATGGAATTATTAAGGCATTGATTCTTACGTGTTCATTTCACACATTGATTTTTCAATGTAAAATGTATATGTAACATAATTTAAACTCTGTTTTTAAAACATGCAATATCTACCCGGTGAGATTCCTTGTCAGTGCAAATGAGTTATAAACCAGCGAAAATTACTGGAAAAGCAACACTTTGCATTGCTGTGCACTTGCTTTGTCTTTGAACAATGGTTTTGATATTATCATATGTCCAAGATACTGGGTAAAGTGGAGACTTAAATTACAGCTCTTACAACTAGTTTATTTCCATGGGTAAACTCCAGGAGCCAGATTAATCCCTAGTATAGCTCTAATGAAGTCCTGTTGGACACAGTTTGCTTTTTTCCAAGTTTCTCCATGCAATAAACATGTGATACTGAAATCACTGCTGACGCTTCTTATAACTTATCTTGCAGAAGAGCATTTGTGTTATTTTGCTCCATGCCACAGCTGGAGCAAAGGACCAAGTCGCTGCAGTAAATCGTAGCATTTTGGATCAATCAGTGGAATGAGCTCCTGTTTTCATGAGAGTTGTATCTAGAGAAGGGGAACCCCAAGAAGCAATTTGCTCAAGCTTCCGGCCAGCCTTGCTGAGACCAATGATTCTTTTGACTAACATCCACTGCAATATTCCCTTTTGCTTCATAAGCTCAAGAGCTCTGAGAGCAGCACATTTCTAAGGCTTGATTCAGCCCCACTGAATTCAGTGGGAGCTTTGCCGTCCATTTCAAGGAGAGCAGGCAGGGCCCCTAGTGAGCATTTCTGCATGAGAAGTTTAATCCTTTAGCATTTACCCTAATAGTGTGTTGTATTTTGCTTGCAGGAAGGACACCATCATGATATATTTTTCTGGCCAGTCCAGAAAAGTCCTCAGGTGAGAAATTGATCTTGGAGTTGTGAGTATTTAAGGGAATTCTGATTCAAACAATAGTCATTTCTACCATGGACACTGGTGACTGCTGGCTCCAGAAATGGCAGGAGCAGATTTACCATGAAACAAACCGTGCTGTGGCACAGGGCCCCCAATGACAGGGGGGCCCCCAAAACGCAGGACAAATATTTGACAACCTGCCCCCAAGTCCCGGCTGGCGGCGCAGCAGGGCTCAGGCAGGCAGGCTACCTTCATGCCGTGGTCAGTGGCTCCACACCGCTCCCAGAAGTGTCCGGCTGCTGGCACGTCTCTGTGCACCCCTGGTTGGGAAGGCGGCTCCGTGCGCTGCCCTCCGGGCAGTGCATGGAAACCTGCTGTCCCCATCCCCCCAAGGGATGCACAGAGACGTGCCAGCAGCAGGGCTAAGGCGTCTCCCTGCCCGCTCTGCCTCCCTCCCTCCGCGCTGCTCCCGGAAGTTGCTGGCATGTCCCTGCGGCCCCTGGGGGTGTGTCTCATGCGCTGCCCCCGCCCTGAGCGCCGATTCTGCAGCTCCCATTGGCCGGAAACTGCGCTTTGGGAGCTGCACCGCCCAAGGTAAGCGCCGCCCCCTGCCCCCCTCCTGCATCCCAACCCCCTGCCCCAGCCCAGAGCCCGCACCCCTCACCCAAACTCCCTCCCAGAGCTTGCCCCCCACACCCTCTTCTGCACCCCAACCTCCTGCCCCAATCAAGGTACCTCGCTTTATTGTCATTTAATTCCCATTACTTATAATATAGGAGGAGGATGAAGAAAAAAAGAATGAAAAAACGGGGGGGGGGAGATAAGAGAGAATGTTCTTTTTCTTGGCTGGGGGGACCCGAACATGAAGCTGTGCACAGGGCCCCACAAACCCTAAATCTGCCTCTGAGAAATGGGACATAATTCCCCTGCACCCCGTGCAGTCATGTACACCTGTTACAAGGGAATGTAAAACTGTTAATCCAGAACGGGAGCATTTTGCATGGGAGTAAATGACAGTAGAGGTCGCAAGGCAATTCTGAATCACGGCCATGTTGATGTTTTCTCTAGGGGGTGGGGCATAAATGGGGTACAACACTTCTTGCACCTTGCTTGGTTGCCTCTTTTCATGCCACTGCGTATGTGTGGGGACAGCATGGATTTAGCCCTAGGTAAGTAAATACCAAGCAAAATATGGGTCCTTGTTTTTCTCTTAGAGGATCAGTCTGAAAATGCCCCAGCCGGAAAGCACCTTTCATCACATGCTGTGCTACGTAGTTGAATGTTTTCATTTGCAATGAGCAGTCCTTAGCCTCCTGACTCCGATTCAGCTGCACTACGGCAGTGCTGGGCCAGAGAACTGAATCCTGGAAAGAGACTCAAGCGACATCTGCACTGCAGCTGGGGTAGACATACCTGCACTAGCTTTGATCCTGCTAGCATGCTAAAAATAGCAATGTAGCCATGATGGTGTGGGCGGTGGGAGGCATGGGCTAAGTATAAGCCTATCTGAGACCCTAGGTATGCACTCAGAGCGGCTAGCCCGTCCCACCGCCCATGTCACTGCAGCCACACTGCTGTTCGCGCACTAGCTCGATCAAAGCTAGCACAAGTTCGCCTCCCCAAGCTGGGAATTACAGCCCCTGCTGCTGTGTTAAATGTACCCCCAGTGACTTCTTCCAACAAAGCTTTATTCCTTCCCTGTGCAGACTGTATCCCACAATGTAGCTGGAAAATATTCAACAGCGAAATGTCTCATGATGGAGTTTCAAAGGCCGATAAATATTTTGTTTCTTTGCAGATCAAATTTGAGGAGAAGGGAACATAAAAAGGAAAATGCTGCTCAAATAAGAAATGTGAAGTTACGGTAAAAGAAATATACTTAAATTTCTATGGGTGACTAGAGATCTTCACATGACAGGTTCCACAGATGGGCAAAGTAACAGCCGCTTTAGTCATTAAAGGCAGAGGATATTACGATTTAAGAGCTGTTAGAAATAGGGCTGGATAAATGTTTAGACATTAAAAGTATCCCAGCCTGTCCAAATGAGGGCCCTAAGTTACTGTGAGTTGGGCTCAGCAGCTGATGTGGTTTGACAATGTTCAATTGTGACATCACATGTTGTCATGGGAAGGTTTGCATCACAATGGCATCATGCCATGACACCAGCCCAGCAGAGCCTGCACTTGTGGCAGGAAAGGGCTGTGCGCATTGGGAAGCAACTGACTTTCTTCCCCTCACCTCCACGTGATGATGGGAGATGGACTCTTAGAGCACTGGGATCATCATGGCTGGCATAAGACGATAAAGAGGATAATGGATGGCATGTGTAGAGAAGGTAGCTTGGGGATTATTATCTGCCCTTTCTCCCAATACAAGAACAAGGGGATGTTCCATGAAATTGAATGGCAGCAAATTTTAACCTGATGAAAAGAAAGGCTCTTTAACACAGCATACAATTAGCCTGTGGAATTCCCTGCCACTATATATAACTGAGGGGACAAGAGCTTAGCAGGAGTAAAAATGGACTGGATAGTTATAAGGATAATGAGAGCATCCAGATTTCCACCAGTAAGGATTTTTTTAAACAAGCATTGTGGAAGGGAGAAAAACCCTCCTGCATCAGAGCAAAAGCCAGTCTCTAACTGCAGGGGTTGTGACGAAAATGTCCCTAGGAGTTGGCTATTGCATAGTGACCGACTTCACAGTTTCTTGCCACTTTCTCTGTAGGATCTGGTGCTGGCCACTATCAGAGACAGGGTAGCACAGTAGGTGGACCATGGGTCTGAGCTGCCATGTTCATTCCTATTAAATCCAGCACGTTTCACCAGCACTAAAATTCAGGGGGCAGCGGTGTTACAAAAATACACTGATTGGCCAGGGGATGGCAAGCTCGACTGGATCAGGGAGCCCAAACTGGAGTACATGGCGGTAAGAGACAGCACTTTATTCCAAGCCTCTTTGCTGGTTCCCTAGCACAGTTGTGTCACAGCACCACCCACTAGCAAGTTAGACGGCTGGAAGTGAGCGTATCTGTGAATCTGGACTCCTGGGTTCTATCACCTGCTCTGCAGTTGACTCCCTGAGTGACTTTGGCAAAACCATTTACCTCCCTGTGCCTCTTTTCCCCCATTTGTAAAATGGGGATGATAATTCTTAGTAACAGCATAGCGGCGGGGTTGAGACTGAACTACGTAATAACATTTTGCTCTCCCGTAGCACTTTGCCTTTAAAGATTCCCAAGTACTTTACAGAAGGATTGTGACCATTTTATAGGGAGAAAAACAACTGATCACCTTTCTCCCAGTCCTGTACCCCATCCACCGAGCCCCTCTGCCTGTCTACACTATTCCTAATGTGAATTCCCCATGGATCGAGAGAGGGATAATTCCTAGAAAGGCCCATTTAGAGCTGAAATGAGTTCCCTGTTCTGTTTGTCTTTCTGGTCATTTAATCCAATCTTTCTGTTCTTAGAAATGTATTTAAATGTCCATGGGTTGATTGAGGCCCTCAGCTGACAGATTTCACACAAGGGCAAAGTAATAGTCATATTAATGATGATGAGACTGACCTCCTTTGTAAAACACTTTGAGATCTATGGATGAAAAGTGATTGGTATTCTAATAGTTATTAAACATGACATGCAGAAGGGTTTATTGTTTTATTATTCTTTAAGGACTGTTGGAGCTAGAGCTGGGTAAATGGTTAAAATACAAAAATCCCGGCCTGCCTAAACCAGTAACCCCAAGTTACTGTGAGCTGGGCTCAGCAGACATGGTTTTACAGTGTTCTGTTGTGATGTCATGTTGTCGTGGGGAAATTTGTATCGTGATGTCATAGGGTGACCAGATGTCCCGTTTTTAAAGGGACAGTCCCGTTTTTTGGGACTTTTTCTTATATAGGTGCCTATTACCCTCCCCCCCCCACTGTCCGATTTTGTCACAGTTGCCATCTGATCATCCTATGATGTCATTATGCCATGACACTAGCTCAGCAGAGCCTGCACTTGTGGCAGGAGAGGGCTAGGCACGCATTGGGAAGCAGGCCGCCTGCTTCCCCTCACCTCCATATGGTGACATGAGATGGACTCACAGAGCCTACGTTCATTGTGGCTGGTGTTGGATGATAAAGGTACACAGAATAATAGACGGCGTAGAGAACGTAGATCAGGCACTTATGTTCACCCTCTCGTATTACAAGGACAAGGGGTTATTGAGTGAAGTTGAAAGAGGGAAAATTTAAAACTGATGAAAGGAAATACTTTTTCCTCACAACTTACACATAGCCTACTGTTCCGTGCCTTGGTTTGCCCATTTGTAAAACGGGACGGGTAATGATTACCCACATCACAGGGGGAATTGTGTGACTTTGTTATATAATAGTAGTTTGAACTCACGTAGCGTTTTTCCTGTAAGGATCTCAAAGATTTGTACAAAAGTCTTCTCATTATGTAGAGAAACTGAGGCACAGAGAGGTCAAGTGACTTGCCCATGGTCACATAGCTGTCAGTGGCAGAGCTAAGAATAAAACCCAACTCTCCCAACTCACAAGCCAGTAGCCTATTCCCTGGTCCCCTCTGCCTGTTTATATTAATTCAAAAGCGGAATTCTGGATGGATCTAGAGAGGAATGGATGCTTGAAGTGCCTGTTGACAGTTGATATCAGCCCCTTGTTCTGTCTCTATTCAGCTCATTTAATCTCATCGTCCTGTTCCTAGAAATATGTCTACATTTCCGTGGGTTAATTGAGATCCTCAGAGAACAGGTTCCACACAAAGGCAAAGCAGCCATCATATTAATCGTTACATTCGAATAGGGTGACCAGATGTCCCAATTTTATAGGGACAGTCACGATTTTTGGGGCTTTTTCTTATATAGGCTCCTTTTACTCCCCCACCCCGTCCCGATTTTTCACACTTGCTGTCTGGTCACCCTACATTCAGAGGGTTTGTTTGTTGTTTTATTATTCTTGAAGACCTATTAGAGATGGAGCTGGGTGAGTAGTTAAAATATAAAAATCCCAGGCTGTCCAAACCAGTGGCCCCCAGTTACTGCGAGCTGGGCTCAGTTGATGTGGTTTTACAACAATTCATTGTGCTGTCATGTTGTCACGGGGAAGTTTGTATCACAATGTTGTCGTGCCATGACACCAGCCCAGTGGAGCCTGCACTTGTGGCAGGAGAGGGCTGTGAGCACTGGGAAGCAGCCAGCCTGCTTCTCCTCACCTCCATGGGATGGTGGGCATTGGAGTCGCAGAACCATGGGGTCATTGGGTTGGTATCAGGTGATAAAGATACACAAGATAATAGTATAGAGAAGACTGAGCGGACACTTTGTCTATTCAGTCCATCACCGTAATATCTGAGTGTTGGTAGCAGTCACTTTTTCTCATCATGAGTATTATTATAATTAAGTATTTATATTCTGGTAGCCCTCAGAACCCCAATTAGGATCAGGGCCCCATGTGCTGGGCACCATAAACCTCCCTAGAAGAGACAATCCCTTCCAAGAAGTAATCACAGTCTAGAGACCTAAACTGCTGCTGTGTCTGCTGAAAACAAAGATTATGTTCCAGAAAACATATTGTTTTGATCAAAGAATCTAATTTGAGCTCTTTTAATGCTCCCTCCCTCTCAACGTGGTTTTTAAAGTAAACAGATACCTACTCTTTCCAAGGCCTCCTCTGGGATTCAGAAAGAAAAGTCACTTTTCTCCTAATACAAGAACACAGGCATTTAGAATGAAGTTGAAATGAAGCAAATTTAAACCTGATAAAAGTGAAGACCTTTTCTCACAACCTACAATTAGTGTCACTCTGTGCCTCAGTTTCCCCGCTCGTAAAATGGGAATGATAATGCTTACCTTCCTTGTAGGGAGGATGGTGAGGCTTTACTATGCAATAAAACTTTGCACTCTCATAGCACTTGTCAATGAAGGCTCTCAGAGCTCCTTACAAAGTATTATCCTCATTTTACAACTAGAGAAACTGAGGCAAAAGAGGGGTGAAGTGGCTTGCCCAAGGTCACCCACACCCATCACTGGCAGAGGCGGGACCAGAATCCAGATCTGATGACTCCCAGTCTGCTGCCCCATCCACTGGCCCTCTCTGCATTTATCCCAGATGTGAATTCCCCCTAAATCCCCTTAGAACTATCTGCACTCTGATATCAGCCTCCTGCTCTGTCTGTCTCTTCACCACTCATTTACTGTAATCTTCCTCTTCGTAGGTTACAGGATTGCAGCCTCAATTCACAACATGCAGGGGAGATCGCTGCTCTTCTCAGGGGCTGCGCCCACTTCTCGGAAGTGGAGTAAGTACATCAGGAAAGATCCTGTTTCCTCTAAGGGTCCCTTCTAATGTTGATCTTGCTGTAGGTGGGACGGAAGAGGGAGAAATCATGTCAAATCACCAATGTAATGTGTGTTCCTCACCCCAGTGGGGAGAGGGGGGCCATGTTGTTCTGAGATTAGGTACGCTGGGATTTTAGAAAAGATTCAGTGCAGTGGGAGTTGGGTGTCTAAACCCCAGCGTCTGGCTCTGCGGGAATGTAACCAGAGACACCTATTTTAAAACAGCATTGTTGGCCACGCTGTGCCCCAGAGGCAAAGGCATGTGCCAGGGGCCCCGGGGAACGGCGCTGCTCTGGAGTAGCTCTGGAAGGCATTTACAGAGTCAGAAACCAGAAGGATTCATTGTGATGGTCTGGTCTGACTGCCTGTATAACATAGGCCATCGGATTTCTATGCATTAATTCCTGTTTGAACTAGAGCACATCTGTTAGATCCTTGAGGAGACACGTGTCCTGGGACTCTTGGGCACAGAGGGCAGATATGCCTGTTGCGCTGCCCTTATGCCCCTCCAAGGCCATCCACCTCTGCTAGATGGTCTGGAGAGGCAGGGCCATGGCCGCACTCTTTGCCCTTCCCCTTTGGGGGGGACTAGCAGCTACTGCCCCCCCCCCTTTTTTGCGCAGGTAGTGCCAGGCAGGGTCTGGCTGTACAGATTTCATTGTAACCTATTTGCAATAGGAAATTCAGGGAAATCTAATGTCTCTGGCAAGGTGATTCTCCAGCCCAGCACCACAGATTTAGAGGGCCAGCTCTCCCACTGACTGGCTGGGATTAGGGTTAGAGGGTCTTTCTTACCCTGTGGTTTCCCCCTCCCATCAGGACTGCAGCCACCCGTTGACATGGCTCTTCTGTGGGTCACATTCCCTCCCCAAGTGCTCGAATGGAGGGTTCTTGTTGGGGCTGGAGCACCCACAGAAGCAATGTGAAGCCAAGTGGACTCACTGAGGGGAGAGCTCCCCCCCGAGGTCGCTTCATGTAGGAAGTAGAGCAGGGCAAAAGTTTTTGTCCGAAACTATTTTGCGGGGTGTAACGGGGCAATGCTCACCTCCACGGCGCCTCCTGCTGGCCTCCCGGGGAATTAGCTCACCAGCCTCCGGAGCGCCCTCTGCTGGCCGGTGTCTCGCCTTTCACTGGCCTCCATGTCCCTCCCGGACCCCGGTGTCCCTTCTCTTGGGGGCTGTCCCCTGGCAGTACCCCCACAGTATCTGGGTTTCCCCACCTAAGGGAACCCCCACCCACTATCCCCACCTCACCTCAGTATCAGGCTACTGCCAGTCACCATCTAGCCCCCGCTCACTGGGGCGGACTGCAGTGTACAAGCCACTCATCACAGGCAAGGTTGGGTTTGGACCTGCTGCCTTGGCCTACCCCTGGGCTGCCCTCTGCAACCCCAGTACCCTTCTGGGCCTTCAACAAGGCCTGCAGCCTGGGGGGTTTCCAGGCCGGAGCTCCCCAGCTCCTCTGGCCTTCCCCCAGCCCTGCTCCACTCCAGGTACCCTGTGAGCTCCTAAGCAGCCAGGCCCTTCCCAATCAACCTGGGAACTGCTTGCTTCCAGCCACAGCCCTCTCCTGGGCTGTTTTAAGCCCTTTACGGCTGGAGCAGGTGACCACCTCGCTACGGGGGGGAAATGCAGGTTCGGCAACAGTGAAATATTTTGAGAATTCATGTTGTTTTTGCCAAATTGTTTTGGTTAAAAAAAACCAAACCTACAATTATTTTTTTAAATCAAAACAGTTTGTTTCAAAGTTTTCAAAACAAAACATTTTGAGTTCTTGGTTTGAAATGACTTTTTGTTTCAAAATGTCCTTTAATTTTATTTAAAAAACCCAATCAAAATGGTCAAACTGAGACGTTTCCTTGGACCTAATTTGCTGAAAATTAAAAAAAAAAAAAAAAAAAAAAAAAAAAAAAAAAGGTTTTGGTTTGACCTGAAACTACTTTGTTTTAGGGTCGTTTTTTCCCCCAGAATTGCCAGTAAACTGAAAAATCAATTTGCACAGTTCTACTGGGGCCAAGCAGGGGAGTGGAGGAGCGTGGAGTAGGAGGATGAGATTCTGTGTTATTTACACTGTTCAGAATGAACCACTTTAATGGGAAAATCCCTCAGTTTATCAGGTAACCAACTTGGTGATGAAGGCTGCAGAGAGCTGGCGGAGAGTCTCCCTGAAGTACATATTTCCAAGCAGTTGGAGTAAGTATTGCCTTGCACCCCCCGAATTACCCTGGGATGAAGATGGTGGCTGTTGTACATAGACGCTGACAGGGTTCCACCAAGAAGGAAGCTGACACCCTTCCTAGCCCTCACATAGGAGTATGGGTGGAATATTGAGTCAGGAGGAAGCCAATCAAGCCTCTCTTGGAGTGAGACATACCCCCATACAGAGGAGCAGCCGAAGGCCCAGGAACCTCTGAAATCTTAGGTAGCTCACATGCTTCTAACATTGTGTTCAGAAGCGGAGTCTCATCCTTTCAGAATAGAGAAGTTTAGCATCAAATGCCTTGTCCCCAAGAATACTGGCTTCAGCTGTTTTCAGCCCGACCACTTAAAAAAATTAAATGTTAGAATGTTCCTGGTGCCCCCCCCCCCCCCGCGCGCAATGAGAGCCATGTCCATCATGTCCCTCTAATGACTTCCTTCATGGTCTGTTATTGCACACATGCTTTTTAATAGGTAATCATTTGCTTGTCTGGTTGTTTTCTTTCTCAGTGTCAGTAACAACCAGATATCTGTGGACGGTGTTTGCTGTCTGTTGAATGCCGTGAACACCTGCTTGAATGTGGTGGAGTTTGAAGCCAGGTATGCAAAGTCAGATCAGGAAATTGTACTCAACTGATCTATCTCATCTGTCTAATCTGTCATCTAAAGGCACTTGTATGGCCCCCTTTAGCCTATCTAATTTATCTATAGGTACTTATATGGTCCTTGTGAGCACAGTATCTGAGTGCCTCACAATCTGTATTTATCCTTACAAGCACTGAAAATATGTGGCAGGGAATATTCTTGTATTGGCAGGACATGGGCTAAACGACCATCCACTTCTAATTTCTGTAGTGCTGTGTATTTCTTCATAGCTAAAAGCGGTACAGTTTAGCAGGAATAACCCTGCAGAATCAACAGCATTTTTCAGGGTAAACTCCCAAAATCCTTAGCGGAGAATCATATACAGTAATCAGATTTCAGAGAGTCAAAATGTCTTTTTTCACATCGCATAAAACCCCTTTTTTGCCTCTCTCATGCTATTGGCACCAGGGGGTTTTAGAGAGAAATTTTCACTGGTTCAGTTGAACTGGCAGAAGCACTGATGGGTTCCCTCCCCAAACCCTGACTAAAATTCCCAACTGTAGACAAGACTCCATGTTGTTAAGTGTAATAACTTCAACAGGACCTTTTCCTTGCTAGTGTTCCTGAACTATTCAGTTGATATTGCATAATTAGACTCAAGTGAGATAGCTGGTTGTCTTGGGTAATATTTTAATTGACCTTGGAACTGCTGTCTAATGGTAATATTTGAATTGACCTTTGAAGTGATGACAGTCATTTTGAGAAAACCCCATAATATTATCGAGAGTAAATACAATATAAATTAGTGATAGTCAGTGAACCGAGTGTGACCTTGTTTGTCATCTCTTTCTTCCACAGCCTTCATCATCAGACTGCAATCCTGAAGTTTATAGGAGATAAAGAATTTGCCTCTACCCATTCCAGGTACATCACATGGAAACAGATCCTTTGTTCTGTGTATCAGTCCATGCTGATCACAAGTCAGAGCATGGCTGAAATGTTAATTCCCCCCCCCCATCTGTTCCTTACATTTTCCTATTATTTACATGTTGGAATGAATCCAGACATATGATTTAGTTGATCACTAGGGTGCACTGTGTATCCTGACAGTGCTGCCCCTGATTATAACGTCTTACATCTGAACAGCACATTTCATCCCACAGGACCCCAAGCATAGCAGACTATGCTAAGATAAAAGGTCATCAATGTAGCAATTGTTTAACACCACACAGCTGTGCTACACAACAGGGGGGCAGGTCGAATAGTTACAAAACCTGATTCTCAGATATGTTCACATAGAATGGCATCAAGTTCAGCTTACAGTAAATTCTGGGGTCATCATATATATAACTCACAAGTCAAGCTGGTCAGAAAATGAGGTTTATGGTCTCAGAAAGTTTGGGCAAAAAAAAAATTCAAAATATTTTGATTCTGAAATGCTGCCATTTGCCTCATGAGAGCTGTAGTTCAGGTGCCTTATGCTCCTATTCCCTATAAGTTGGGCTCACTGGTTGGACTACATCTCCCATGATGCACCAGAGTCTCCCCTTCTTAGTGAGGAGTTGCATGACCATGTTGCATCATGGGAGATGCAGTCCAACTGGGGAGCCCAGCTCCTAGAGAAAAATGGGAACAAGAGATACCTGAACTGCAACTCCCATGATGCACCACAGTGTGGCATTTTAGAATCAAAATATTTCAGTTTTGGGGTGTCCTGTTTTTGAGCAAAAAATGGAAATTTCTCCACACAAGACAGACATTTTTCACAAAAATCTTTGTTCCGTCAAAACCTATATTTCTGCCCAAAACCAGTTTGGATGGAAAAATTTCAAACAGCCCTTCTCACAAGTATTTCGTTAACCACTGGAAGGAAGAATTGGCTAGTGCTAGACAAGTGCAGGGAAATGAGCTGGTCAGAGACAAGCTCTTTGAGGTAGATCATGGTGGCAAATCCATGGTGGCGTTACAAACCAGGGAAAGCAATGTATACTTCCAATCATTTGTCCTGCTTTTTGCGCTGGCTTCTTGTGGAGGTGGGTGCTCCCTGTGGAATGGTTACTTACGTACGACTCCTTGAGTTCTTCTCTTCACCTTGTCTTTTCAGAGGACAGTTCATGTTCAGGTCTGATCATGTGTATTGTTACAGGGATACCTCTCGTAGTGGGGACCAGTCAGGTGGAGGTGAGAGCCAGAAGTCTGTGGTCTCAAGGAAAATAAGGTAGCTTGATGCTTTTCATGGGCGTTCAGAGATCTTTGGTGTCTGCAGCTGAGAAAACCATTTCTGATGCAAGTTCAAATGGGGAGTAGCATTGACGAGGCTGTTGAAAGGAAGAGTCACTTCTCATTGTTTATCGTTATTATCTTTGCGTGGGGGTAAAGTCTAGGATGCACTGCACCGGTGGCTCTGTGGTTAGTGCTTGTGCAGTCCTGCAGGAGCCCACTTTGATGTCTAGTTATGAGGTCTCATTCACCAAACCAGTCTGTGGTTAGTATTTCAACCAGCAGGTCAGAGGTGGGAACTGGATTTGCTGAGCTAGTCAGTTACTCTTGTTCTGGGACATGCATTGCAAGAAGATTCTGGACTCAAACCCAAGTCCGGATTTAATTCAGACTATATAAACCTGTATAGGTCAGTGTGTGTTCGTATCTCTTGCAGGCTGTCAAGAGGAAGGATGGGCATCTGGATATAGCTCTCAAGTAGGACTCATGATAGCTGGGCTCAAATCCCTGCCCTGCCACAGACTCCCTGTGTGACCTTGGACAAGTCACTTGGTTATTTTGTGCCTTGGTTCCTCATCTGTAAGAGGAGGCTAATCATCCTTCATTTATCCCACCCTCTGTCTGTTTAAGTGTAAAGCTCCTTGGGACAGTGAGGACCTCTTACCATGTGTATGCACTGTTCTGAGAACAATGGGGTTCACAGGGGCAGTTTCAGTGGGGACCTCCATGTGCTATTGTAATACAAATCAATAATGATAAAGGACAGCCAGCCTCATCTCTTAGCAAATGATAACGCTCAGTGTCCATAGAGCACTTTTACTCATAATTTTCATATACATATTATCCCCATTTTACAGATGGAGAAACTGAGGCACAAAACAGTGTTGTGACTTGATCAAGGTCACACACCTCAGAATAGCACCTCAGTCACCTGGCCCCCTGCCGTATCCACTGGTCAGTGCTGGGCTGCTATGCAGGGTTGTATTCAGAGGGCTGAGGTGGAATTCAGTGTAGCTCTTGCTGTTTTACCTTAATATTTTTCCCAAGCAGAGCTCATTTTAAATCTGATTTTGAAAGTCTCTTGTAGAACAACTCGCTCTTTCAGTCAGATGCAGTTTAAACCTCTGGGTTACGGCAGCATTGCCAACTCTCATGATTTTATCATTAGTTTCATGGGTTTCTTAAAACCCCCAGCTCCTGGATGTATGAAAAAGTATGTTTCTAATCCTCGTGTTTGCAGAGAAAAACAGGAAAGTGTGACCTGAGTATAAACAAAAGACTCAAACACCAGAAGGCAATGAAAAGAACTTAAACATTATTATTTTTTTAAAATCTCATGATTTTTAAGCCCATCTCATGATTTGGGGTGGGGGGGCTGCTTTCTTTCTTAGGCTGACAGACTGTGGTTTTCCCACCAGAGATCTGGACAAGTTGTGCACTGTATTGAAGAAATGTAGCAGCGTATCAGAGCTCGAGTGAGTCTTCTTATTTTTTAGAGCTAAGTTGTATTTTTGCGATTTGTTGGGATATTGTTTATAATAAATATTTTTAAATGTTGGGCCTTATTTATAGGCCCCAGTTAGTTGTTCAGAGATTCATAATTTTAAGGCCAGAAGGGTGGTTGTCTACTCTAACCTCCTGCATAACACAGGGCAGAGAACTTTGCCCAGTAAGTTCTGCATCGAGCCCATTCATGTGTATTTGAGCTGGAACGTATCTACTAGAAAGACATCCAGTCTTGATTGAAACACTGGGAGTGACGGAGAATCCACCACATGCCTAGAGCAAATTGTTCCATTGGTTCATTTGCGTGCATGCAAAATGTGCCTCTCTTTTGCACATTCACAATAGGGTGTGATGCTCACGTATAGATCGTCAACACAGCTTACCTAGGATCTTCAGCACGAAAGCACAGATCTCTACCGTGTAAACAAAAGGAGTCGTTCTATTTGCTAGCAGCGGGAGGTGGTTCTTGGTTTTGTGGTCATAGACTTGCCCAGATGTAGGATTTCAGAGATTCCTAGATTTTTACAGCCAGAAAGGACCATTATGATAATTTAACATGACTTCCTGTGTAACATAGGCGAGAGATTTCACCCAGTGGTTCTTGCATTAAACCCAACAATGGATGGTCAAACTATCTTTTAGTGTCCACTTTCCGTAAGCATTCAAGCAATCAAGTTGCTTGGTCAAAAGCATGTACAAAGCCAATTTTAATCCTGCATGCTTCCGTACTGGTCTGGGAAGTGGAGCATTTCTATGATATGGGGCAGTGCTTGATGCAACTTTCCCCAGGCCTCTTGCCAGAGCCCCGAGGAAGAGACTTCAATGAGTCAAGTGAGCATTTGTATGAAGCCTGCATATTTCTAGGGAAATGGCTGCCTGTACCTCAGAGACTCCTTTAATTATGTTGCCTGAGGGACAGTGCCTGCATCAGAGGCAGTGCATTGTAATGGAGATTTCAACCCCCTCTGCTAGGCCAAATTCAGCATAGCAACACTTTTAAACGGCTTTCCTGGTAGGAGAAGAGATGGGAACTGATGTCTTCCTATTGTGTAATGAAATATATATTTATATGGATGGCCTGGAGACTGAAGTCTTCTATGTACTCACAGAACAGGTATAACTTTAGTGGCAGCAGTGCAACCTTCCCAGCTAACTGCCCTGCCAATGTGCCTCCTGCCTGACCCAGGAAAGGTGCAAGCGGGGAGTTTATTCTCAGTAGTATGGCAAAACTTTTTTTTCCGTCAAAAAAGTCATTTTGTCAACCCTGAAATGCTTTGTGGAAATGCATCTGTTTGGAGGGAAATTCAGGCCCAGGATGGAGTTGTTTTCTGGTGGCGGGGGGGAAGAGATCAAGAGAGATCTAGACTAGCCTGCTGGTTAGGACACTTGGCTGGGCCATGGGAGAGCCAGGTTCGCGAGCCTGTTCCAAACATGGGCCTTCCATACCCTAGGCAAGTGCCTTAACCGCCAAGCTGTTCTGGGATGAGTCTCGGATTCTCTTTTATTTTTGGTCAAAATTTCGAAAGGTCTCATTGTCCTTCAGCATCGGAACGAAAACTGATCTTGAAACCTCAACAAGTTTTGCAAAACAGAAAAGTTGCATTGTCTGGGACTCATTCATGCCTGGGTTCCTCTGCTGAACCTGGTAACACCAGGGCCAATTTGAGATCCTCCTGATGGATATGGCTGTCTGACCTCTGGGGATGAGAAGCACCAGCTCGTTCCAGAGGCTACTGAACAGGCATCAGACGATGAGGAGGTTCTGAACATGCTTCTCCTCTCGTTCACACTGGCGTGACTCTGTTGACTTCAGTGGACTTACTCCTGTCAGTGGGAGGACACTCGACTGGATTCGAGTTAGAGTTGCAATGCTCCAGATCCTGTCAGTGGCCTTGCGCCCCCCAGGTTTTAGTCCTGAGGCCTGGGCTACGCTACAAAGTAGGGTTGACATAGGCCACCGTGCGTCAACTTATTTGACCAAAAAGGCAAGGAGGAGACTGGATGAGCTACCTGTGGCTTTGATTTGCATCCGAGGATGCCAGTGCTCTGCCCTTTGGGGACTGACATTAAGGGAGCATACCGTGTATATTATAAAGTCATAGAATCGCAGGACTGGAGGGGACCTCGCGAGGTCATCTCGCCCAGACCCCTGCACTCACGGCAGGACTAAGTATTATCTAGACCATATTATTTTCTCCTTAATGAAAAATAAATATCTTCCTTTAAATCCTAGTTTGTCAAATAACTCTCTGGGTGACCAGGGAGTCGGGAAGCTGGTTGGACTCCTTCCGGAGCTGAAGGCAGTGAGTTCCCTCAAGTAAGTGATCACTCGTCATTATGTAGCTTGTTTGAAATATTTGGCCTAATTCCCACCCTTGACTTACCCTGTGGATAGTTGTTTAAACCTGTGCAAAATAGGTGTGAAATGCTACCACACTGGAATTTTCCACTCACACACAAGGGGATGGGCGTGTTTGACATCTAATTTGTGTAACACTCGCTTGGACTGAGTTACATTTGCATAGATGGAAATGCGGACAGGCGGTGCAAAGCAGCAGAGCGTCAGGCCCTTAGGGTATGCCTACGCTGCAGCTGCGAGTGTGTTTTTTAGCTCGCCTAGACACACACACGCTAGCTTGGCTGGAGCTAGTGTGCTAAAAATAGCAATGCAAACAGGGGTAGCGTGGGTGATGGCTTGTGGTAGCTGTCCAGGCATATAGCCAGTGGTCCAGGTGGCCTTGTACTCAAGCGGCTAGCCCGAGCTGCCTCCTGTGCTGTCCCTGGCTACACCGCGGTTTTTAGTGCACCAGCTTGAGCAGAGCTAGCAAGTGTCTCTCTTCGCAAGCTGGGAAGCACCCTCCCGGCTGCAGTGAGACTGTAAGTTCTGCAGAGCAAGGACCATTTCTATTGTATCTTATGGCACCGTATAAATCATTAATGATAATGAGGATGAGGATTTAATCCTTTGAAAATAATGGTTTTATTCCATCTCTTCCTCTAGGCTGAGTGGCAATCAGATCTCCTTGAGTGCTGTGTTTGGCTTAGCTCAGTGCTTATCGGCCCTGGAACACATTAAATCAATAGACATCAGGTATGTTTGGGACTCTTCTTGCTGTGTTTTCCCATCAGCGCTGAAGCTTGAGACACGTGACCTTGGTTTGCAGTCCATGAAACGTGAGCAGCCCTCTCCCGACTGCGTGTTCATGGTGTTCTCTTTTGGTTACAGCCTGGGAAACGCTCAGTCGGTCCATTTAACCTTCTGGGAAAATGTCAGGTAAAGATCCTGTCCAAGCATTTCCTGTGTGCCATTCCCATAGTATCTAGATGTCCATGTTGCAATAGAGCGGTTTCCATGGGGTGTCAAAATCAGGGGTCCTTTGGGCTCTGAATGCTGGCTGGGAATAGTGGAGGCAGGGAGCAGCTGGGTGGTGTGGATGAGGGTGGGCAGCCGGGAGTGTGCGGGATGGGGTGGCAGGGTCAGCAGTGGGTGATAGGGATGGGAGTTCACTTCCTCCTGCGCAGCCACCTGACCAAAGGCGCTGGATGGATGTCAGGCACCCCGGGGTTGGAGGGGTGGCATGAGTCTTCGCTCCTGTGAACAATGTGTGCTTCATTTTGGGGGGCCCGGGGAGGCTGGTGTGGGAGGCCACTGCACTGAGGCATGGAGGGTCAGCTACCCATAGACAACATAGTGTTTTGCACTTGGTGCAATTGAAATGGTAACAAAAACTCTGTCCCCAGGAACATCAGGACCAGATCTGCAGGAAAGTTCCCGGCTCATCCGCAACATTTAGAGAACGACCATTGCTTTCGGTATGGCAACTTTCTGTTCTGGCTCCCATTTTTTCATTTAGAAATGTCAGAAGAGCCAAGCGTGGGTCACGATCGTTTTGGGAGTCCTTCATCTCCCCAGAGGGTCTCTCCATGGACTGCCTAGTTCTCATCCTAAAGAGAGAGAGGGTGCCAGAGTCTGCTTCCCATTGAAACAGCTGCCTTCTACCCCTCTGGTTGGCCAGTCACAGCTGTCAGAGCATTGGCAGAGGTGGAGAGAAAGGGTGGGGACCCTACAGCTGTTCCAAATCTAAGAGCATTCTTGGGGAGATCTTTCTAAAGGCAGGGCCAGCTCCAGCTTTTTTGCCGCCCCAGGCGGCGAAGCCACACAAAAAAAAAGCCACAATCGGCGTCACTTCGGAGGCAGCTCCACCACGCCGCTTCATTCTTCGGCGGCAATTCGGCGGCGGGTCCTTCCCTCTGAGAGGGACTGAGGGACCCACCGCCGAATTGCTGCCGAAGACCCGGACGTGATGCCCCTTTCCATTGGCCGCCCCAAGCACCTGCTTCCTTTGCTGGTGCCTGGAGCCGGCCCTGTCTAAATGATTTACTTTTGGGGCATCACCTTCCCAGCCCCTCCACCACTGGAATGAAAAGAGATCTGGGTGCCTGAAATACTTGTCTATAGAGGCACGTCCTCAGCTGATGTAAATTGGCACGGCTCCACTGAAGTCAATGACAATTAACACCAACTGAGGATCTGGCCCATAGGGTATTATGCTATTCCTCCCCTGTACACACACAGAGAATCATAATTCAAATGAGCTAGTCTGCTAAGAAAACAGTATAGCGTGCTATATAGAAAGTGTCTTGGTTTGGTTGGATCTGTTTCCCATATCGCAGTTGACTGAGATATACAGGGCTTGATTTCCCCACTGCTTTGCTCTCACGGAGTAATTGATACCTGCCAAAGTGAGACTCGGAATTCTCTACTCACACTAGTGTTCTACCCACACTTTGCACAAGTGTAAATGACTGCTGAGTGTGAGGCAGTGCGGGATCAGGCCAGCTAAGGAGAAGGCCTTGGAAAGGCCCATCTATAGGGAAAAGCAGATGCCTTCTCACAACACTATTCCCTCGCTATGTAACCCTAACTCTCATTAAGGGAGCCCCATGCAGCGAGAGAGGAATGTTCCCGGCCCTATTTCGAGGGAACCAAGAAGGCGTGTGACATTGGGAAAACAAGTGCTGATTCCTAAAGGAATTTGTATTGCCAAGGAGGCAGCTCCATTCAGTCTCTTCACAAAGTGGGATGATCACACGGGGCCAGATGCTCAGCTGTTGTGAATCAGCAGAGCTGCACCGAAGTCAATCGAGCGACCTGCCTTTACACCACCTGGGGATCTGGCCCAGAAGGTTTAGAACAGGAAAACCGTCCCTCTGAATGCACTTGTGAAGTGAGCAAGGCGGTAGGTAGAAGGGCTGAGATTGGCTTTGAACACCCAGGCCAGCAGCTCGGCCTGAAACGTAAGGTCTAGATGGAGTTTCCCATGTCATCCCCGCTGTAGAAGGTAAATCTGAGGATCCTGAGTATGCGGTTTGCTTCAGTCTTAGGGAATGCACCGTGAGTCCCGAGGACATGGACACGCTCTGCCAGATCCTTGGAAAATGCACTGGACTGACAGAACTTGAGTAAGTGCCGAGCATTGTGTAAGTGTGTCTATACATCAGGCTGTCTTGTGCTCCTAGAAAGTGAAATCCGCCTGTATAAAACCAACGGGCCAGATCTCAAACTGGTGTGAATCAGTGTCACTCTGTTTGCTTCATTGGAGCGATACCCATTTACTGCAGTTGACGTTCTGGCCCGGAGTAACTACGCTTTGTGCAGACGGAGCACCTGGGGTGATGAAATCCATCCTCCCAACCCAGGGTCTCCTCCCGCCAGAACTGCTCTTCCAGCCTACGGGCTGGCGTATCGCCTTCAGCCCCCGGTGCTAGTTGCATGGAGTGTTTGGGGCCTCTGTCTCCATGTAAATGCAAGTCTCATGACTCACCCCCATTGCAGCCTTCAGCTCAGAATCACCTCCTAAGGCAGAAAAGAATTGTCTGACTGCTCCATCTTTCCCCCGCCCTCACACACATGATCTCAGTGCAGTGTTATGTCTTCAACTGGCTCTTTGCACCAAAGGTGAATTTAATCCAGATATTCATATACAAGTATCTTCCCTCCGACACCCTGTACATGACCTCAGGAGAGTTACTTTGGTTTTACCCCAGTATATCTGAGAACAGAATTTGGCTTCCTGGAACTCTATAATTTGTGTGTAAATTCCCCTGGATGCATGCAGTGCTGGCACACCCTTCTGTTCCCCTACCTAGCCTAGATTCAGAGATGGTTACGGTCATGTAGGACTATTCTGATCCAGTTCTAGATAGTCTGGCCTCCTGTGTAGCCCAGGCCAGAGACCCTTACCCAGTGATCTCTGCATCAAACCCATAAAGATGTTTATAAAACGAATGATCTAGAAGCTAGTGGTCTCTCATAACTTATCCAGCCGTTTTCACTTCTCAACAGTTTTTTTTGCTGTCCTTTTTTAACTCCCATATTCCAGTAAATGAAACTTAAACCTTTGAAGTCAAGGATTTCTGAGCCGAGTGTGTATTTTTCAACAGGAATATACACCTCTACCCCGATATAACGCTGTCCTCGGGAGCCAAAAAAATCTTACCACTTACCGCCGGAGTGCGCAGCCCCGTCCCCCCGGAGCACTGCTTTACCGCGTTATATCCGAATTCGTGTTATACCGGGGTAGAGGTGTATTGTTTTAATATCTACTAACTGTGAAGCTTGCAAATCATTTCTATTCTTGCAATGTGTTTTCTCCCTTGCTTTGCAGATTATCTAGAAATGCGCTGAGTGATCAAAGCATTGAAAGGCTGCTAATGTCCCTACCACGTTTGCACAGTCTGAAGCTACTGAGGTAAAATTTGGGGCCATTGTTTTGCTGGATGTCATGAAATATTCATTTTGAAAGCGATAATGCTGCAGTATGTCCTACCAGCATTAATAAATCATCGCATCATTCTACATTAACATAGGGAAAAGCAAACCAAGTCCAGAAACACTCAGAAACGCACTCACCCCAATTCCTCTCCTCTGTCCACGCCCAAACACAAACTAAACCTCTTTTAAGATACTGAGATGATTGGATGCCACTCTTGGTTTCTAGCTGCCCCCAGGTCCCCAACTCCTGAAATGCTACAAGAAAGACGGTTCTCATGTATTTACATCGGGAAGCAAAAGTGCTGGAGGTTCCACGCTTCTTTTTTTCATGATTTCCAGCCCAATGATTGCAGACTCGGGTCCTATTTACACTAAGCCTTGGCTGATATAGCTATGCTGGCAGAGGCTCCTAGTGCAGGGGTTCTCAGACCAACTTTTCTGGTGGCCTAAGAGAGTGGCCACCAACCCTCGCTGGTGGCCGTTCTGAAAATTTTTCCAACCCCGAGCCCCGCCGCCCCGGGCTGAAGCCCAGAGCTGGAGCCCAGGGCCTAAAGCCCAAAGCCTCTGAGGACACGCACTGGTCCCATGTGTCTGCAGAGGCGCTGCCCAGAACCCCCAGGAGGCTGTGTGGTGCAGGCTGCTGATCCCCTGCTGGCGGTGCCAGCAAACACCAAGGCAGCCAGGAGCAACAGCTGGGCACTGCAGGGAGGGGGCGCTGTTCCCCCACCCCCCCATCTCCACCCAGGAGGCTGTTGTGACTGCAGAAAAATCCCCTGGCATTTGAGAAACACTGCCCTAGTGTAGACTCAATGAAAGCTGTCAGACGAAGTTCTTCCTCCAGCATAACTACACCACCTCCCCGAATGATATTAGCTAAGTGGACAGAAGCACTCTTCTGTCGGCAGACTTGTGTTGGGATTTTTGTCGGGATAGCTATGACAGTTTTGGAGGTGCGGGGGTATTTTTTTTTCATGCTCCAGCGAAACTGTGTAGTGTAGACCAGGCCTCATAAGTTTTGGTTTGATCCAAAGCCCATTCATGTCACTGGGAGTCTTTCCATTGGCTTTGCATCAGGCTCCTGGCTGCTTATCCAAAAAGAACACAAACTTTGAACCTTTTAGGATTAGCCTACCACAAAATGTCTAAGAGAAGAAACAAGGGCTAAGAGCTCCTGAATTCTGACCCAAGCTTGGACACTGACTTGCCGTATAGCACTGGAGATCAGTCCCTTGGCAGTCACTTTCCAAGCGTGTAGGTGGGCGTATCTGCAACTCATTTGCACACAGAGCTGCTGCAGTTGTGTAGATGTAAATGGCCACTTATCCATCTAATGGATCGCTTGCATGTGTAGCTACCTGATCCACACATGTGAAAATGGATTTGCAGGTGCAATAAAAAAAAATCACACATGCAAACTAGGGATATGTCTACACTACCCGCCGGATCGGCGGGCAGCGATCGATCCAGGGTGGATCAATTTATCGTGTCTAGTCTAGACGCGATAAATCGACCCCGAGCGCTCTCCCGTTGACTCCTGTACACCGCCGCCGCAAGAGGCGCAGGCAGAGTCGACGGGAGCAGCAGCAGTTGACTCACCGCAGTGAAGACACCACGGTGAGTAGATCTAAGTACGTCGACTTCAGCTACGTTATTCACGTAGCTAAAGTTGCATAACTTAGATCGATCCCCCCCCAGTGTAGACCAGGGCTAGGGAACTGATTCACCACCGTGTTATTCCAGCTTTACAACAGTGAAGTGACAGCAGTATAAAACCAGAGCTGATGCAGTGGAGAATCTAGTTGTTCAAAGGCAAGAACAGTGTCACACCTACAGTTTTGGAAACCAGGCCCTCTCGTGTCTGTGTCTGAGTTTGTGGAAGTGACGGTCAAGTCCTACGTTAATGGAACCAACCTTCCTTGAAGATGAAGACTGATTTATTTATTTTTCCTCCAGTATTAGGAATAACAAGTTTTCACCAAATTGCACTCTCTTACTGGCCAGCTCTCTCAACCTGTGTGAGCGAATCAGAGAAGTAGAAGTCAGGTAAGGAACTGAGACCTCCTGTTTCTCCAAAAAATCAGCCATCATTGAATTCCAACCAATGGAATTGAGAGCCTTGTCCTTTTCGAAGAATGTGGCTGTGGATGCAATGACTATTTTTGCTTGTGTTTGCTACAGGTCAAGTGAAAATGCTTTTTTGCATTTAGCGGGGAGGATAGAAAGCCAAGAAACATCCTGCAGGTCGGGCCATACATTATTTATTTATAAGTTTGCTTCTAAAACGTTAGCATTTGTTGAAATAATGTCAAATGAATCCACATTTGACTAAATAACAGCATGGATAAAATGTGCACCATGCATGGTGTAATCCTTACTGATACTTTTAACATCAGGAATAAGAATTATTGTCACTCCTTGCATGGGCAGCACCATGTATCTGTGCATGTCGTGCAAAAGTCCAGGATCCAGTCTCATGAGAAGAAAGGTGTGTTTCTGGAACACCTTGTAATCTATCAGTTGGAGCAGGAGGCTAGTAGTCAGGACTCCGGGGTTCTATCTGCAGCTCTGCAAGTGACTCATATGACCTTGGACAAGTCATTAGTAGCCAATTTTCCAAAAGTGGCCTCTCGTTCTGGGTTCTCAGCTTGAAGAACCCTTGTGTGTGATGTTCAAAAGGGCCCGTAACTCCTGCTGAAATTAATTGGCGCGGGAGGTTCTTGGTACCTCTGAAAGTCAGGCTCAAGGTGTCTCAGAATGAGCACCCAAAAACCAGTGACCATCTTTGAAAATGTGGGTCTTACCTCTCGGTAGCTGTTTCCCTGCCTGAAAGATGGGGATAATCATTACAGAGGTGTTGAGGCTTAATGAATATTTGCAAAGATCTTTACAATCAATGGCAGGGCTACAGAGTCTCGTTCATTAATGCAGGCGTTGCCCCTAGACTGCTGTACAAGCAAGCGACTGGGAATCTGTAGCTTTCAGTGCGGAGGCTAAGTCAGTGCGAGGCTGTTTCTCGGGATCTATTTCAAATGCTGTTTCTGTCTCCCTCATCTGTCTTCAAACAGGCTAACTGACTGCAGCATCGGTCAGAACGAGGTTGAGGAACTCTGCCGAATCCTTGAACAATGTGGTCGTCTTGCGGAACTGGAGTAAGTGGGCTTTGACTTTCCACTGTGGCCTTGAAAGGAAGGTGAACAGAGCCAGTGAGGGAAAGCTGGGTGGATAGAGATAGGTGTCTCCATACACACAAGCCCCGTAGGCTCACTCTGTCTGTATATCCAGTATCTAACAGCATCTAAACAAAGAGGGAAGTGAAAGGAATGAGCTTTGTGAGCTTTCCCTGCGCTGCCTCCTCTGTGGCCTAACCCAGACCCGGAGGGACCACTCACCTGGTCCCACCCATACTCCCTCGATCTGTGGGGATCTGTGGAGCTCCCTGGTACACAGAGTCCCCAGGAGATAACTTCAGCCCACCAATTGGAACAAGGTGTTTCCACTCTGCTCTGGACTAATGTACATCTCGGTCTTAGAGCCTGACCCACTGCTCATTGAAGTCACTGGGCGTCCTGCCATTGACTTCACTGGGCTTTGGATCCGGCCTTTACGGCCCAATCCTGTGAGGTGCTGAGTACCCTAAATGCCTACCGAAATCAATGGGGCTGAGTTACCCCGATTGGTAAAGGGACTTGAATAGTTTTGTTATCTCAGAGTTCTCCCTGTGAGGCTAGGTTTGTGAGGTAGTTTTCTATGACAGCGTCGTATGTATAAAATCCCTTTGCTTTCCAATGCTCCAGTTGCCGAGAAGAACTGTAAACAAACTCAGCCTTTATTTGTTCAGCTGCACATGGCTAGCCAATGGCTACAGCTCTTGGTCCCTTCAATTGAGAATATACCATGAAATGCCCATTGTAATGAGGGAGAGGAAAGAAGGTGCAGTGTGGGACTTAGGATACCTTCTCAGGGCTGGGATGTAGGCAGCCAGGCCTAGTGATTAGTGGGGGTTGGGGGGAAGGGCGGCAGGTCCCCACACTAGCCAAGGATCAGAACCAGAAGGTCAGGAGCCAAGTTCATGAACCACAAGTCAGATACCAGGAATCAGGCAGAATGAGGAAATCAGGTGATCAGGATCAGGAGACACAAGCAGGTAGCACTAGATGAGGCGCCCAAAGCAGGATGGAGCCCAGTTGTAGGGACAACTTCCAATCCTGTTCCTTCTTCTGCCTTAAATAGAGGAAGCAACCAATCAGGATCTCCGGTGTTGGACCAATCAGGGCCCAGGGTGGAGTCTCCTATGTGAGCTGGGCTTCAAGGAGTCCCAGTCGCCAGTGGGTGGAGGGGTGGAGCAAGATGACCCCGGGGAACTCTGCGAACCCGGGTTTAAAACCCACAGTTCATAACACATCTGGGTTCAGTTCCCTGCTCTGCCACAGACTCCCTGTGTGACCGTGGGCCTCTCTGTGCCTCGGTTCCCCATCTGTACAATGGAGCTAACAGCACTGCCCTGCCTCACAGCGGTGCTGTGTGGAGAGATACGTTAAAGGTTGTGAAGTGCTTTGAGAACTATTGATATAAAGGGCTATAGAACTAGGTATTATTATTGTTTGTAAATTGACCGCCTGTTTTATGCATTGTAAGAAATACTTTCCACCATGTGAGCCTTTAGATTAATACACTGAACAAACCCCTTGTGCTTTTGTTGAAGACAATCTGTGCTGTGTAATGTGTCAAGAGGGCACCAGATTATTCTGCTCCATTAGCCAGAGACCTGGGTGACAGGATGGGAACTTCCTAGTAGATAATCTAAGTAATCTATTTTGTGGAACACTCACGTTCTAGTTTCCACCATGTGGTGCTGGGCGGGGCGTTGGCCCGCGATGTTTGGCTGTGCAGTACCTGGGAACCTCGGCAAGGGAGCGCTCTGGCCTGAATTTCACATGTGAATTTGTTTGGGTGTTTTTCACCTTGTTCTCTTCCCTTGCAGTCTCTCTGGGAATCACCTTGGCAACGAGGGGCTGAGACGCCTCTTGGATCGCTTGCTCCAAATGCACGTTTCCCGCTTGCTGAAGTAAGAAAGCGCCCTGGGAACCTGGGGACTCGCTCGGAGCACTGGTGCCTGCTCTCGAGCTCGTCACCAAAAGCAGCAGAAGACAGGAGGGGCCTAGTGGGGAGGCGTTCGCCTCCTAAAAAATAGCAGCACGTGTGGGACTAGTGGCCACCCTTGTTGTCCTGTCTCATTGGAGAGGCCAAGGATTCAATGGGCTGTGGGGATTGGACTGCCCCATGGGACTGTTCCTGGCGGTCCCTCCAGGTCAGGAGCGAGTGATGTAGAATCTGATCAAAAACCCAGTGAAATCAATGGGAGTCTCTCCACTGGCTTCAGTGGGAGTCGGATCAGGCCCTCGGTAGGGCTGTAGTGTGAAGCTTTTATTATTAATTATTATGATTATTAATCATATTATTATGGTAGTGCCTCGGGTCAGCCAAGCATGGGGCCCGCTTGTGCTAGGTAGACACTGTGCAGACGCAGAGCAGGAGACGGTCCTTGCCCCGAGGAGCGTAAATAGACAAGACAGACAAGGGGAAAGGTGGAACAGCAGCATGAGCAATGGGATGGGGCAGCAAATGTTAGTCAGACATATCGTGTTAGATCCACAAGGGGTGGGGGATTACTTAGGAGGGGATACGCGAAATGGACAGAAAAGGGAAGGGAATTGGGAGGGAGGGTGAGCGGAAGAAGGCAGGAGAAAAGAGGATACGAGGGACAAGTGTGGAGTGAAAGTGATGGGAAGAGACACTGAGAGGAGGGAAGGGGAAGGGTTGGAGCAAACAGCCAATCTGCACAGGGCAGAGAAAGTCCACAAAACAGGAGGAAGTTCTGCGAATGTCCAGAGATCGCAGCTTTGGCTGCATCTGCCCCTGCGGGCTGGATTCTCTTCCTGGCGCTCGAGCTGTGCCTGTTCTGCAGATAAACAGAGAACTCCAGTCTCCACCCGTTCAGTCAGCAGCTTTCTGCCGTGGGGGGAGTCTCTCAGCGAGAGCTGCTATTTTAGTGACACTTCCCAGCAGGAAGTCCCACCTCCTAACATGGCTTGAGATGGCGGGGCTGCTGCGCAACACATGAATGCTTGGGAAAGGCATGAGACTGTCACTTAAGTGCAGTTATGCCAGTGCCGTGAAGGAGGGACTTTGCCATAATATCTTAGGCATAATTGGAGGTACACACAAGCATTAAAGGGGATACAGACCCTCTAGTCTCTCACAGATTTGAAAACTCTGAGTGTCTCTTTGCAAATATTCATTCTTCTCAAATGTCAGCACGAGACGCTTCGGCTATGTCTACACAGCAAAGAAAAACCCCAGCCGGTCCATGCCAGCTAACTCAGGCTTCGGGTCTGTTACGCTGCTGCATAGACTTCCAGGCTTGGGCTAGAGGCTGGGATCTAGGACCCTGTGAGGTGGGAGGCTCCCAGAGCTCGGGCTCCAGCCCAAGCCCGGAAGTCTACACAGCAATGAAACAGCCCCACAGCCTGAATCCCCGTGAGCCCAAGTCGGCTGGCACAGGGCAGCCGCGGGTAGCTAGTTGGTGTGTAGACATGGCCGTACGCTGACAGCACCAAATTGCATCAAAATGTAACAGTAGCTGTAACTGAGATTTCTAATACTATATGAATCATCATGTTCTATTGTTGTAGCCTCAGCCATAACAAAATATCTCAGGATGGAGTGCTGCATCTAATTAACACCCTCTCCACATGCAGAAATGTAACAGAAGTTCAAGTCAGGTATGGTTTCTTGTCATTAATTCTTTTCTCTCACTTAATTATCCTAAAGTTTATATATTGACTGTAAGGGTCGAATTATCAGCCAACGTAACTTTTTGTGTGCATGCACCCATTCCTACAAAATGTAAATTTGTGCATGCAAATGAATATTTGGATATGCAAATGAGGAAGTTAGTTGGGCCATTACCTTATTCTGTCGGTGCAAGTCCTTTTTTATATATGCAAATCTGGGCATTGTGTGTGCAAATATAGATGCATCCAGGCCCTCTCAGAGCTCCAGAGAGGCCTGGGCCACTTCCAGCTTTTGAGGCCTCTTTCAACACGCACTTGATCCAGCACCAGCCACTAGTAGTGGGTTGGTTATATAATCAGTTGATCTGAGAGGACACAGTCTCATCTTGTGCCATCAGAGCCGATACATTTTTATTAATATTTATGAACATTTTAAACTCTTTAATATGACAAAATCTATATCAGTTAATAAAAAAATTATGTCTTTTACCAAATCACATTTTTTATTTGCTTAAATTTGCAGCTCTAAGCTGAGAGGGTGTGTCACATTTTGGTCCGATAGGGATGTGCATAAAAACAAGTAGCAAAACGTATCAAATGCCAAAAAATTAACGAGTGTCTAAATTTGAGGCCCCCTTTGAGCTTGAGGCCCAGGCCAAATAGTCCTCCTGCCCCCCCCCATTGGCCCTGGATGCATATACATTTTCTGATGGGCACTAGCTTGCCTCCGCTATCTGAAAATTCAGCTCCGAATTTTCAGAAGACCTACATTTTAGAATTCTCTAAATTCTGTGTGACATTGCCAAAAATAATCCTTGATTTACTGAATTTGGGTTCTTTTTTTTAATCTCTTTCACGCCTGACAAAAGTATAGTCCATGGACAATACTGATTCTGTTAATGTTAAAAGCTGCTAAGCAGGTTCTTGCTTTAGTTCTTTATTGTTTAGTTGCTGTTTAGTTTTCATTTTAGAGGCTTTGAACCCAATGAATCCCTAGGACAGTTGCATGCAAACACATATCAGGTACACAATTGCAGGCATATTTTGCACAGGCAGTTGTGCATCTAAACTAAAAGTCTGGTCCCTTGGAGATGTGTCCAAAGCGCAGTGTATCCTAAACTCATGTGGTCTTGTCTGTGCAGTTTGTGCTCCAAGGCAACATCACTCATCAAGTTCACAAGAGAAGATGAACCAAGGAAGATTTTGAGGTAATTGTATGAGTATTTTGTGTGTGTTTCAATCTCCTTTAAAAAGCTAGAGTCTTCCCCTCTTTAGAGAGAAGAATGAAAAACATCTCTCTGCCTTCTAGATCCTAAGGAATTGCATAATATAATATCTGTAACAAATGGCATATTCATCAATTCCAAGGCTAGAAGGAACCATTATGGTCATCTAGTCTGAGTTCCTGTATAAAACAAGCCACAGAATTTCCCCCAAATAATTCTTAGAGCAGAGCTTTTAGAAGAACATGCAATCTAGTTTGAAAAATAGTCAGTGATGGAGAATCCACCATGACCCTTGGAAAATTGTTCCGATGGTTAATTATTCTCATCATTAAAAATTTATGCCTTATTTCCAGCCTGAATTTGTCTAGTTTCAACTTCCTGCCATTGGATCATGCTACACCTTTCTCTGCTACACCGAAGAGCCCATTTTAAAATATTTGTTCCCCATGTAGATACTTATAGACTGTAATCAAGTCACCCCTTAACCTTCTCTTTGATAAGCTAAATAGATTGAGCTCCTTGGGTCTATCAATATACTGCATGTTTTCTAATCCTTTAATCATTCTCATGGCTCTTCTCTGAGCTCTCTCCAATTTATGAACATCCTTCTTGAACTGTGGACCCCAGAACTGGACACCGTATTCCCGCAGTGGTCACACCAGTGCCAAATAAACTCTCTACTCCTACTTGAGAGTCCCTTGTTTATGCATCCCAGTATCGCATTAGCTCTTTGGCCACATCATCACACTGGGAGTTCATGTTCAGCTAATTAGTCACTAGGACACCCAAACTTCTTCAGTCACTGCTTCCCAGAATGGAGTCCCCCGTCATGTAAGTGTTGCCTAGGTTCTTTTTCCCTAGATGTATACATTTACATTTAGCCGTTTTAAGATGCAGATTGTTTGCTTGCGCACAGTTTACCAAGTGACCCAAATCTCTCTGAATCAGCAACCTGTCCTCTTTGTTTACCACTCTCCCAATTTTTGTGGCATCTGCAAACTTTATCAGTGATGATTTTATGTTTTCTTCTAAGTCATTGATAGAAATGTTAAATATTGTAGGATCAAGAACCAATACCTGCAGGACCCCACTGGAAACACAGTCAATGACGATTCCCCATTTACAGTTGCATTTGGAGAACTATCAGTTAGCCAGTTTTTAATCCATTTAATGTGTGCCATGTTAATTTTATACTGTTCTAGTTTTTTTTATCAAAATGTCATACAGTACCAATTCAAACACCTTACAGAAGTCTATATTATGTCAACACTATTACCTTTATCAACCAAACTTGTAATCTCATAAAAAAAAGATATCAAATTAGTTTGACAGGATCTATTTTCCATAAACCCATGTTGATTTGCATTAATTACATTTCCCTCCTTTAATTCTTTATTAATCGAGTCCCATATCAGCTGCTCCATTATCTTGCCTGGGATTGATGTCAGGTCTATAATTACCCAGGTCATCCCATTTACCCTTTTTAAAAATTGGTCCATCAGGTATTTCCTCCTGGTTTCCTTGCAATAATAATAGTCCCTTCATATGAGAGAGAGAAAATCTACACACACTCCCTCTGAGTTCTGATCTCTTGTAATCCTTTATCCCACCAGTCTCTGCTAAATGTACCTGGATCCCTTGTTCATCTCTTAACTCTTAATCATCAGTAGTTATCCATCCCTGTGCTTCAGTTACAGAAGAGTATTTTGTGGAAGGTAGAGTGAAAGAACCCTCATAATAGGCTGCATCATAGCATACCGAAGAACTCTTAAGATTTTACCAAAAATCTTTTTCGCAGTGTTTTAGTACTTAGATGTTGTCTGTCCCTCCTCTTTTCTCAGAAGATGCTGCAATGCCTGTGATTTCTGGATCAAAGGGACTAATAACAGAGAAGGAACTAATACAGTTTTCTCCCCCGTTCTTTCAGACTAACGGAGTGCAACTTTCAACCAGAACACCTGCCAGAGCTGTTCTCTCTACTGCAAAAGTGCACCAACCTGACGGAGTACATGTGAGTTAGATACTGCTGAGAATCTGGCATAGACTGAACTTTGCTTAACAATATTTTGTTAAAACAACGAGGAGTCCTTGTGGCACCTTAGAGACTAACAAATTTATTTGGGTCTAAGCTTTCGTGGGCTAGAACCCACTTCATCGGATGCATGGAGTGGAAAATACCGGAGCAGGTATAAATACATGGAAAGATGGGAGTTGCCTTACCAAGTGTGAGGTCAGTCTAACGAGACAATTCAATTAACAGCAGGATACCAAGGGAGGAAAAATAACTTTTGTAGTGGTAATGAGAGTGGCCCATTTCAAACAGTTGACAAGAAGGTGTGAGTAACAGTAGGGGGAAATTAGTATGGGGAAAATTAGGTTTAGGTTTTGTAATGACCCAACCACTCCCAGTTTTTATTCAGGCCTAATTTGATGGTGTCCAGTTTGCAAATTAATTCCAGTTTCGCAGTTTCACATTGGAACCTGTTTTTCAAGTTTTTGTTGTTGAAGAATTGCCACTTTTAGGTCTGAAATCTTTCTTCACAATGATCTATGATTCTAGATCAACAAACAACAACATGACAACCAGGGCGGTGGAAGATCTATTGCAGGCACTGAGGAAAAGTCTGGGAACACTGAGAATAAGGTACAGAATGGTTCTAGTGCTCTGTGAGTCAAACCCACTTTGGTTCTGATAAGCTAGGATCCAATTCTGTTGAAAACAACATCTAGGTATGGAAGGCAGAGGGGCTGGGATTTAGTTGCTGTCTGAGTCAGCAGTGATTTAACGTTTGTCTGCACACGGAAGATATCGTGAAATAAGCGAGGCTGTGAATTTAAAGCACAATAGCTGTTCTACTATGGAATAGTTATTCTGGGCTATTTCCCTTTGTAGACAACCCCTTTGTGTCCAGCATGGCACAAGGGGGCGCCGTGCTGCCGGCAGTACCATTATTTTTAGATACATGTAAAACTGTGACCGTAATCACTTGTGATCATTAAAGAACCCCTGGTACTTTTTGTAAGAGCACGGATGCTAACCCCCAGTGCCTAGGCAGAAATTCCTGTAAGATAATTACACTGTGTCTGGCCAAACCATCCCAAATGCAGTGGTGTTGTAGCCGTACTGGTCCCAGGATATTAGAGAGACAAGGTGGGGGAGGTGATATCTTTTATTGGACCAGCTTCTGTTGGTGAAAGAGACAAGCTTTGGAGCTTACACAGAGCTCTTCTTCAGGTCTGGGAAAGGTACTCAGAGTGTCACAGCTCAACATAAGGTGGAACAGATTGCTTAGCATAAATAACTAACGCATATCTCAAGGGACCATTCAAGGTGAAGTGACCTGTTAAACACCTCTCCAGTTATAGGGGGAAAGGGAAAAAGAACCTGTCCCTGCAACATTTCATTTGAATAATTAATTCTTTACTTCCTGTCCCAAACTGTTTTGCATTGTTACTGTTGCCATCTTCTACCCTGTGGTGGCGAGTAAGGACACACCATATCCGGTCTTCTCATTACAGCTGGTGGGAAAAAATGAGAAATATTGGGGGCAAAAAGAGAAAAAATTAAGGTTAACGTCCCCTTGTTTCCAGTTTGCACTGTGCTTCCTCCCCTGAGGTAGCCCCTCTGAGTAGGGTGAGCTGAGAACCAAGGGCTGTACAGACACATATGGGGACGTAGCATTGAGATGGGAGTAGTTTAGATAAACGATGCTCATGAAATAAAGCAAAGCTGCCTGTGTTTTGCATTGCAGCATTGAAGAGCAATGGGTGCGGAATGCAAGTATCGCTAGCCTTCTGCAGATGGCTGTCCAACCCCACGGGAATGTTACAGAGATCACGTAAGTGGAGCCTGGACAGCTGCTTGTCACAGATCCAGGGCCTCTAATCCCCCTCAACAGTCCAGGAAAGACACCTGCTCTCAGGCTCCTGGGTCCCCAGTTGTCACCTCGCTTGGGTGGAGACATCTCTCCCTTCTACCCAGCTCCCTGGTTATACTGTGAATTCAGCAGCAAAGTCAGGCAGCCTAAGCAGGCCTGCTTGCTTTCTCTTCAGAAACGAATAACAACAGTGTAATGGCCTTCAGTTAAGCTACAGCTCTTCCTATGCAAGTTAATGTATTCGTACGGTAAAAGCATGTCCAAGAGAACATATTAAAACAAGAAAAGAACCTATGTGCATGCTAATAAGCTTAACAGAGATCACCCCAACTCCAACATGGGCTCTGGCAAACCCCACCTGGATGTCTCTTCCATGGTCATAAATTCGTAACAGCCTAAGCTCAGACCTAGCACACTCAGGACAAGTTTAGTCCATCCAGGGGTCTCTGAAGTTCCTAACATTTCCATTAGTCACATCTCTAGAAAAGTTGCATACAAGCCTACAGGAACACATAAACAATTGCATTTTTATACAAGGGAACCTAAAAACTCAATTCAGTAAGATTTAACTTAATTCCATAAGGTTTCTCTGGGATCTTGCAGTTTTCAATTCCTTTTCTAAAAATAAAAGTCTGTGTTTGGAAACCAGCCTTGGACGAATGCTGTCAAGTCCTTAGGCAGAGATGGTTTCCAGTCATTCAGCAAGTAAACTCTGATTGCCTGCGCTCTTCTGCTCTGTCCCATCTTGTGGAAAGTAACCTTTGCTACAGGGTGTTTGGAACCATTTGTATCATGCATCCAGCAAGGTCTGGGCCTGTGATGTATTGTCATCTCCATCTTCTCCTAGGATATCAAAAGACAAAGGTCTCCTTCGAGTGGGCATGGGGTTCCCCTGTCGAACGGAGAAGATGGAGTCTGTGGTTAGCAGGTGAGGAGGTGCATCTGGTTGTGCTTTTCATTGCAGGTTGCTCCCTCTGACAGATCATCCAATAAAAGAACTCACTAGCATTCCTATTCTACCCTGAATAAGTAGAGGCCTTGAATACATTAAGACCCAGGCCAGCTTGACACTTTCTTTTGCAAGAGTGTGCATGGAAGGGATAGCGCAAGGAGCTTTCATGCTCTTGGCAGGGAAATCAGCCCTTGTGCCTGGGAAAATGAAGGGACACCCAGAGGTGGGAAAGGGCCATGTCTCCCCGACTCTACACCAGACTTTGGAGTGGGCAAAGCACATCAAGGAGGAGCTTGGGTTTGTGCAGCTCTGGTCTGCTGCCAAACCCAGCCATATAGCACGGAAAAGCCATTGGGATGCTGCAGGCTGCAAGGCCCTGTGTACGCATGAGCTGGGTTGATTGTCACTGATGTTGATCGGTCGCGTTTGTGTGTGTCTGCACCCTGCAGGTTGAATCAGTGCGGGCTGGAAGGGAAGCACATTCACTTTCTCCAGAGGGTTATTGAGAAATGCACGCAGCTTCAGGAACTGAGGTGAGCTCTCAAAGCGGTGTAGCAATTTATCTCAGGAAGGAAATAGTTTCTCATGTCCTGGTGCATGGGAAGAATAGATGCATCTCTGAAACTGGGACTGGGGAGCTGGAAAATCATGTAGAGAAGCAATAGTAGTCAATAGTCAATTCTCCCCTGACATATGCTCCCCGTCCAACCTCACTGAAGCCAACGGGAGTTCCAGGGGGTGAACTTAGGGGCAGAATTTAGCCCGAAGTGACCCCAGCGAAGGAATGGCTAGACACAGCAGTACACATACCATCTAACATTTAGTTCTTGCATGTGGCTTGACCACAGCTCGTTGCTACAGCTCACTCAGACACGCATACCCTACGGCGAGTGAGCACCGAGGGTGCAGGAAGGTTAGCAAGACGTGCTTGGTTTGGTGCATACGCTGTGCATTTTGTCATACGCGCTCTGCTGGCATCGCGGAGTGTATGAGAATTCCAAACGGCACCCCGGGGACACAACAGAAGGCCTGTCTCTAGCTGCCAGCCATTTCCTGGTTGGCTCTTCGGGCTGAGGAGTAGATCTTTATTGGTTGGGGCTTGAAATACATTGAATGAGCTGACTCGTGCAAGAAAACCTGGGGTGGTCAAACCTAGAGAGACTCAGGTTATAGCTGTGCGATTTGATGAAACCAAGCTCCTGCCCCTGTCTGTGTTATGCAGGAGGCCAGACTAGATGATCCGGTGCTGCCCTCTGGCTTTAGAATTCCATGAACTATGCAAGCTTGGAGAACAGAGCCTGGGAATGCAGGGATCATTTGGCCTGGCATCACAATGCGATTATGTTGCTATAACAACAAGGGGGCAAATGTGGCTTATTCCGTATACCTTGAAGTGCTTCTCAATGGACTGTTGACCTGGAGGTGGGTCAGCATCCAGGCAGCCCTTGACCAGCTAACTCACACAGAACAATTGCAAGCATCACACCACGCCAAGGCAGCTGTGGGCTGTTCAGATCTTTGTGTGTCACTGAGAGGATGTGCTTTTTCGTCCTTGCAGCTGGTCTCATATTGATCTCAACAATGCTGAAGAGGCGATGCTAGCCAACGTGCTTCTGACTCTTCCAACGCTGAGGAAGTTTGAGTACGTAATTATCTAAAAAGCTCGTTACTGTTGAATGTTCTCCTTCATGAACTATGGCTCATTCCAAGCAGATTCCCCTACTGCCCTCACTTGCCCTTTCCCCAGTCCACTACCCCCCGAAACTCTCTCCTTCCTATGCAATTGGTGTCGCTGGCTAAATCCAAATGTGTATTTTCATGATTTCTCTGAGCTTTGGGTTCTTGGGAGCGGCCTGGATCAAAGCTCTTTTCTGAAGTGCAGAAAAGTTCAGACCCGAATCAGCATCAAAACTCCCTAGCTGACCCCTGACTTTGTAACGGACCAAACCGCAGCCCCATTGGGTGGGGAAATTGGAATTCAGACGTGAACGTTGCAACCTTCGCATATCTGCGTGTTAACATGGCATATGTTCTAGAATGTTCTTCTGTGAATTGTTGGAATGGGGCACTCGAGCATTTAGTCATGGTGCAAGACTTCAGAGAAATTATCACGTCCTGCCCCCTTTCTTTAAGTAAAAACATATAAAGACAGAGGGCCTGATTCTCATGTACACTGTGGCCATTTTATCCTCCTCCAGTCAGTAAAGGGGGCGTAAGGGTGTAAATATAATCTATTCTCACTTTAAGGCCCCTTTATACTCCCGGAGTGGTGTCAAATGGCTGTAGCTAAATGAGAATCAGGCCCATAGACTGTATCTTTACACAATACAGTCTTTTGGGACTCATTCGCTGTTGCTGTTGGCGGAACCTGCAGAGAGTCCGAGTCAGTACAGATCAGCACCCAACATTTTGGACTCTCCAGTTCTCTTGGGTCTGTAAAATGGAGCTGGAAATCACAAAAACGTTCTCTTCTCGTGTGTTTTGGCTCCTCATGTGCCAAAAGCTTAGCCCTGAGGGGTCCTTCCTTTTAGGCAGACCCCTAATTCTAAAAAGATTCAAGATTAACAGGGGGAGAAACGAGTGCCGAGCTGTCATGTTTGGGTATAAATCCAAGATCCCATGTTCATGTATGGTTTCTAAAGACCCTTTGGCATTTTTTGCAGGCGTATGAGTACCAGCCCTGGGACCCTGGCCATTTACATTCTGTTGATCTAATTTCCCCTCTGTGGTTCTATTTGGAAATATCAGGCTCTCAGCATTTTAGTATGTGGGTACCAATTGGTGTTAACACTTCCCAACTTCCCGGTTGTGTTTTATGCTGATAAAAAGCTTCTGCATTCCACCCCAGAAGCAGCTGCATATCAGTGGTGAGGGAAGTGATTCCTATATCTCCTGTCTTGTTGGACTGCCTGAATGGAAGTCATTCTCATTCGGTGCTGCTACTGGTTTTTCAGGCTGACGTCCAGCAGTGTTACGCCAAGCGGAATGGGACACCTGGTTGCAGGGTTGCAGCAATGCCATGCTATTGAAGAACTTAAGTAAGTTTATAGTCCTGGTGCTATGTAGACCCTGTTAGGCCAGTCTATATTTTATGATTAAACTGCAGTTACTTACAAGCTGTGTGTCATGGATGAGTGTAACTACACAGATGGCTGGTAGACATCAGCCGGGGGAGAAGTATGAATTCCTTAGTATTTGCAACTAAGGATGGGCAGAACAGGATTAGTAATGTGTGATTAGGGCAGAGAGAGCAGGGTTCTGTGTACAAGCCAAGTACTTTGGGATCCTCAGTACCTCTGCAGTATGTGTGAACACCCGTGTCCCACTGCAGAAAGGCAGTAATTTCAAGAACCACATTGCAGTGTTAGAAGATACACCATATCCAGGAAGGTAGCACCTTCTAGTGGCAGCAGATGGCATTTACAGAAGCACTTTTACGCCTTGCTTTACAACCACCCATGGTACACCTCTGACTTCTCCTGTTTTGGAGTGCCACCCATAGGAAGGCACCCAGACCAAGACCTAACACTAGACCAAGACACAATGGTCCTGAGAAATGCCAAAAGAAGAACTGAGTTTTTGGTTCCATGACTGAACTGAAAAAATCCAGAAAAAAATTGTTTCTGGTCAAACAAAACGTCTTTGACCTGAAACTAATTTGTCAGGTTTTTTTTTTTATTTTGTTTTTGGGTGTTTTTATCCTTTTTTGTTTTTTTTTAATAAATCTAGCAAAATTTCTAAATTAAACATTGTTTTGAAACGAAAAGTTAGAATGTTTCCTTTTGAAAAAGTAGAGATGAAAAGTTTTGACTTTTTCTGGCTAAAACTCTTTGCTGAATTTGACCCAAATTCATAAATAGTTCAGTCGACCCAAAACTACATTTTTTTGAGGAATAAACTATTGCAAAGAATTTTGCTCAGCTCTAGCCATGAGTGTTGCAACCTAAAGATCATAAAGTAAATTATTTTATCATTCATATCACTGTGGAGGCATCACCCTTAGAAAACAGCATCCTTGCCCCAAAGATCTTACAGGCGAAAAGTTGCAGAATTGTTAGGGTCTTGAGCCTGCTTATTTTATTTGGTTCTTATAAAGAACCCTGAAAAATCAACACCTTTTATAATGAGAGCAGGTAAAAGAAAATTAAAAGAATTTCTAAAACATTTTAATTCCGATGGTTTTTAGAAGGACTGACTTATTTTATTTTCCTAATTTTCCACTGATTTTTGTTTTATTTTTTGTATTCATTTTTCTACATTTAATACACGGATTTTCTGACATCCATGTCACACAATCAGACATAAAACCTAGTGTTGTGACCATCAGTGAAATAACAGGATTTGCAATTTAAAAGAAGATGTTTTAGCAGTTATTGGAAATCTCACTGGATTTTTTAAAATTTTATTGTTAGTAACATACATTAACTTTCCATACAAGTATTAATACATCTTATTTATAACTTGTATTTGTTACCTGCAAAAGAGACCTAGTTGTGATTGGCCAGCCTTTAATCATTATCAGTGTATTTTGTTCAAATTCTCAAAATAGTAACCACCTGTTACAAAAGCTATGTGACCCCTGATATAAGGATGTCTGTTATTTTTCCATTATCAAATTTTTATTTGCTTTAAAAATTGGTAATATCCGCAAATGAACATTTTCATTTTGGGGAGGGGGTGGGAATCTCATCATGTGACTAAACTGTCCTGTCAAAATCTGGAATGCAAAAAACAACCAACCAAACAAAACAACCTGTTGAAGAGCAATAAACTTTCCCATCATAAATTTCCATTGAGAAATGAATGTATTGGCAGGTGGGGGGAATCTCAACATGCTTTCACAATATTTTTGGTTTTGAAGCAAAAATGAAGAATTCTTACGTCTGAAACATTTCTACCCGTCTCTGTTAATAATGACCCTGCAATTCTCAGCCTTTGTAATTGCTTGAGGTCTCAGAGAGGCAGCTCTTCCTTTCTCCAGGTCTCCTGGGGACAGTTTGCCTGAAAGGGAATGAAGAACTTGCCTCTCATGCTGTGTATGTGTTTTATGCACCTTTGGCCTCATCCTGCGCCCATTGAAGTCAATGGCAAAACTCCCATTGACTTCAGTGGGGTAGGGTCTTCGTAACACCAGAAAAGAGTATTTCCCATTGCAGTCTCCTCAGCAGCCCCACACTGTGGAGGACACAGAGCTGCAAAACGTTTACACGACAGTTAAGAGGCTTCCCTTTCCTAACCCTGCGGGATCAACATAACGACACGGCTTCCATAGAGAGCTCTGACGCTGGCCTCCGTCAGCCTCCCATTGCTTTGACAGCTCCTGCCTAGCAAATTGGTCATGGTCTGTGAACTCTCCGTTTAGATCTGTGCTCACTCATTCCTGTGTCTATTTGCCTCTTAGCCTCGGCTCCCTGGGACTCGATGACACGGCCATTCTCATGCTGGTGCCAGGACTTCACCAAATGCCTTTACTGAAAAGACTCCGGTAAGTATGTCTGCGCAGGCCTTCACGTACTGTAGTGTTAGCGGGGCCATACAGACACTAGCGAGAGAAGGAACTTTTGTGATTCATTCCCTGAGCATCTCACATTGATGCCCAGCTTAGCTATTGCGTAGTCTCTGGAGAGCAGATTTCGCCCTAAGGAATCTGCGTACGTTCTGTGCACTGTGCTAGACTCAAGAAGGAAAGTTTCCATCGTGAGTATGTCTGACCTCCTTGTAGACAGGCCTGCTATCAAAGCAGCAAGGAAAGCTGGGCCTGTGTACATGGCCCTGGTTGGGGTCTCAGGAGAGGGAGGTTCATTTTTCCAGCTCTGCCACACACGCTGTGTGACCTTGAGCAGGTCTGTGCCTCAGTTTCACCTCTGTGCAATAGGGGTAATAATCCCCTTCCTACTTCACAGGTTTGTTTTGAGGATAAGTTTGTTAATGTCTGAGTCACTCGGGTACTGCAGTCTGAATCCTTCCCGTGCTTCAAACATTGCTTTGTCTATCCTGGGATAATGCAGTGAGGGGGTCAGATAAATACTAACATAAAGAGATAACTATCTTAGCACAAAGGTGCTGCACTGTTCTACAATTCTGCAGTGACGCTAGCAGCCGCTGCACTATTTGCATCATTATTCTGCTATTTTTGGTAGTCCCTACTTTTATTGACTAAGTAATGATGAAGTAGCATTTTAAAAAATATTTAAATTTTTTAAAAGTGTCCATCCTCCTCTTCGCAGCAAATACACTGAGAAGAGGAAACATTCAGGGGCAGATTTGCAAAGCTGAGCACAACAGATGCACCCGTAAAAATTCACATGCACCCAGTGAGCCCACAAAAACTCCCATGTAAGTCCAGTTAATAGACAAACATGTAGCCAAGATCATAATTTCCTGCTTTGTGGGAGCACGGAGGGGGTCTTTCACTTGCACAGCCATCAGAATCTCCAGTAGCGATAGCATTACAGTTATAAGAACAGGAGTACTTGTGGCACCTTAGAGAGCTATATGTGTGTATATATATCTCCTCAATATATGTTCCATTCTATATGCATCCGAAGAAGTGGGCTGTAGCCCACGAAAGCTTATGCTCTAATAAATTTGTTAGTCTCTAAGGTGCCACAAGTACTCCTGTTCTTTTTGCGGATACAGACTAACACGGCTGCTACTCTGAAACCTGTCATTACAGTTATGTTACAGGAAACCACGGAGTGGATCATTTCACCGTTAAGTATACTGTTCAGTGGTTACCGTGGATACATGCAGCTGTTTCAGAGGTTGATGGTAGCATATTTTTTTCAAGCAGAGCGATGCATTGCATAGATTTATTTTTTCTTTTTGAATTCCAACACCAGTGCGCCACTTGCATTCCATTTATATCTCTGTTCTTGAAGCCTTAAGTGGGACTCAGATGGCCCATAGGCCTTGCGCTGGCCCTCTGCACAGCGGTGAAATTCATCCTCTAACCATAAAGCCATGCCACTGAATAACAGTCTAATGTGTGGTATTTTGTGAATATTCTTTCCAGCTTGAACAATAACAATGTTGGTAGTGAAGGCTGCTCCCACCTGGCCGAAGCTCTGAAGAATACTCCTCATATGGAAGAAATCAAGTGGGTTCCTCCTTTCTTGTAATCTCTCTGCCAGTGATGGGGATGGATTATAGAGCTCAAGTCAGGGGGTGTTCCTAGGTGCAGTTATAGGAAAGAAGCAAGTTTTATGGGGGTTGCTTATGCTCTAGTGTCTGGGCTACTTGAATTAGAGATGGGATCAAACCAAAACGTCAGATGCAAAATCTGAGCAAGTTTTGGTCTGATCCGAGCTGAGGAACTGGCACATGTAACGGCATATAATGGGTTCGACCGAAACGCCAAGTTTGAACACCCTCTGTCAAAATTTGGATCAGGAGCTGGGTATTGTAGCTGTCTCTGAGAACGGGTCCCAGGGCTCCCAAGATCTGGAAACGTTTGAATCTAGATCCACTCTCAGGCCCTTTTTTGTTGGTTAGTTTTCTTCATTGCAACCAAGCCCTGTCTCTTCTCTAACACAAGACGCAGTGAAAACAACCCCCTTTTTGACGTTTGAAGTTCATTCAGCTGTGAATAGTGAAGCAATTTTGGTTCCCTCCAGCAGATCAGGGCTGTTAAGACATTGTGCTCAGTGGGAAACTCCGCGTTTTCTTTCATAATGTGGCTTTTTTTTTCCCTTTAAAGTTTAAGCCATAACAAGATTGAACATGCTGGTCTGGAAAAAATAGCCACGCTCCTGCCGGAATTGCAAAATCTAAAGAGAATCGAGTGAGTCGCTTTATGTTTCGGGCTGAATAATGGGATTAATTAGAGTTAGAGCTCAGGTTGGGGGGAATGTTCACGTCTGATTTTATTTGACCTGCATAGAAGTTACTGGGAAGGCTTCCATATTGACTGCAATTGGCTTTGTGACTGAAGGTTGCTGCCGTGTCCTGCCTGGGCAGCACAAGCCTCTCCCGTTATTGGAGACCTGGAGGCCAACGGTTGGATATGCCGCAGGGAGTGAATGCCCTGGTGTGTTGGCCTGATAGGATAGTTGTACACTTCCCTAGCCCATGCATTACACCTCTACCCCGATAACGCTGTCCTCGGGAGCCAAAAAATCGTACCGCGTTATAGGTGAAACCGCATTATATCGAACTTGCTTTGATCCGCCGGAGTGCGCAGCTCTGCCCCCCCGGAGCGCTGCTTTACCGCGTTATATCCGAATTCGTGTTATATCGGGTCACGTTATATCGGGGTAGAGGTGTACCCGTTCTGTAGCTCCATGGAGGGTTTCAGCCTCAGCACGGCCCATCACCGCTACATTTATTTCCTAACAAAAGTGTGGGAGGGGGGAAACGGAGAAATTTCTCTTTCTGGCCAGTTTCAGCTGGTAAGAAAATTCACCCCAAATCTTCGGCCATGAAGGGGACACCCGCTGAGAGAAAAAGCAGCCATAGGCCCCCCATGCCAGTGCTCTGATGGTCTAACCTAATGCGTTCGAAAGCCTTTCTCTTCCAAGCTATTTGATGGAGAGACGTGTGTGTCTCTTGACAAGCTTTGGATTGGTATCTCCGGGCCTGCTTCAGTGGTAGCTCATTATTACGATGCCCTGCGCTCCCTGTCACGCCTCTCAGCCATGAAACAATCTGCAGCGAAAGCGCCATTCATGCCACGGTTTAATTTGTATCTGGTATATCCTGGCTCCTTTCAGCCATTGACAGACTCTGCCTGTTTCCATGTGTATTGTAGCCTGTCGTCGAACAGCATTGGCCCAGCTGGAGGGGAGATGCTGGCGGAGGCTCTGGCTCGCTGCAGGCATGTCGAGGAGTTACTGTGAGTCCCACATTCACACTGGCTGGTACACAGTTCTGAGGCGTCACATCTGCTCTCCCCAGTGGAATCAGTGGGCTGTACAGACTCTGTTAATGGAGAGGAGCCCAAGCCTGTGCCTTGTACAGAATCATAGCTAGGATTTCAGAAACACAGGGCCTAGAGCAGAGGTGGGCAAACTATGGCCCATGGGCCGCGTCCAGCCCGTCAGAACTTTTAATCCGGCCCTTGAGCTCCTGCCGGGGAGCAGGGTTGGGGGCTTTCCCCGCTCCAGCTGGGGAATGGGGTTGGAGGCTTTCCCCGCGGCTCCCGGAAGCAGCGGCATGTCCCCCCTCCAGCTCCGGCTCCTACGCGCAAGGGCAGCCAGGGGGCTCCACACGCTGCCCCTGCCCCAAGCACCGCCCCCCATCCTCCCTGCAGCTCCCATTGGCCGGGAACTATGGGAGCTGCAGGGGCGGCCCCTGCGCATGGGGCAGCATGCAGAGCCACCTGGCCAGTGCCATGCCTCCACGTAGGAGCCAGAGGGGGGCATGCTGCTGCTTCCGGGAGCTGCAGGGGCGGGACTGCCTGAGCCCCCCTGTACCCCAACCCCCTGTCCAGCCCTGATCCCCCTCCTGTCCTCTGAACCCCTCAGTCCCAGCCCAGAGCACCCTCCTGCACCCCAAACCCCACATCCCCAAC